TTTTTTTTTTTTTAATTTTTTGTTTGTTTGTTTTTGTTTCTCGAGACAAGATTTCCCTGTGTAACAGTCTTCGCTGTCCTGGAACTAGCTCTTGTAGACCAGGCTGGCCTCAAACTCACAGGGATTCACCTGGCTCTGCCTTCTGAGTGCTAGCATTAAAGGCATGTGCCACCACCGCCTGGCCTGAATTTTGTTTTGTTTTTTTCTTTTTTAAAGATTTACTTATTACAGATATAGTGTTCTGCCTGCATGTATCCCTGTAGGCCAGAAGAAGGCACCAGATCTCATTAAAAAGTGTTATGGAACACCATGTGTTGCTGGGAATTGAACTCAGGACCCCTGGAAGAGCAGCCAGTACTCTTAAATTCTGAGCCATCTCTCCAGCCCCTCAAATTAAATTTTTACTGTTTTATTACTTATTTATATTGTTTGTTTTTTGAGGCAGGGTTTCTCTGTGCATCCCTGGCTGTCCTGGAACTAGCTCTGCAGTCTAGACTGGTCTCACTCAGAGATCTGCCTGCCTCTGCCTCCCGAGTACTGGGATTAAAGACATACACCACCACTGCCCAGCTTATTATTATTTTTTAATTAATTATTTTTCAATTTAATTACTTCAGTTGCTTTATATATTTATGGAAATACGCTTGTTTAGCACAGTAATAACAACTGATATTTGCTGTGCTCTTAGCACATAATTACTTAGTGCTTTGGGAGCCAGGCGGTGGCGGCACATGGCTTTAATCCCAACACTCAGGAGACAGAGGCGGGCGGATTTCTGTGAGTTTGAGGCCAGACTGGTCTACACAGTGAATTCCAAAATAGCTAGTACTATTACACAGAGAAACCCTGTCTTGATAAACAAAAAAACAAAAAACAAAACAAAACTCAAACATTGCCACTACCACCACAAACAAACAAACAAAAAACAACCCCTAAAACTATAAAACAGTTATATCATAGTGGCACTAACAGTTGATTTATTGAAAAGTTTAAAAATACTTAGAATATGGTAATTTTAATGATAAATAGTAACTTTGCAAACCCTGAGTTTGTTTGCCTTCAGTGCTAGGGATTGAGCCTGGCATAGCCCATTCACGTTGCAGCTCACAGTGTGCCAGGTACAGACTTGAGATTGGTTTAACTGATCTAATGAACCAGAAGGTTGATTTCCTAAGTTGTCTGCCATTCAGTACCAGAGCAGTGGGTCTCATGCCTTTGGGACCATACTTCTGTGCCTCACAGCTATAGTGGGACTGCTTTCTCTTGTGTGCAGAGTCCACGTGTGTTCTGTGTGCATGCTCCTAAGACATAGCCCTCAAAGGTCAGCGAATTCTTAGAGGGCAGCAGCGGTAATCAGAATGAGCGCTTGTAAGATAACTGTGCACTCTTTCAGTACTTTTGAATCGTTGGACATTTTTCTCATGGTTTTTGTTTGTTTGCTTGTTTGCCCTTTTAAAACAGGATTTCTTTCTGTAGTTCTGGAACTCACTATGTAGACCAGGCTGGCCTCGAACTAAAAGAACTGCCTTCTTTGGCCTTCTAAGGGCTAGGATTAAAGTCGAGCGCCGCCACCACCTGACTTTTTTTCATGACTTAACCAATTTTCAGTGTATTGCTCTTTAATTTTAAGCATATTTACCTTGTTGTGAACCAAATCTCTGTAGTGTGTTCATCATGTGAAATAGACCTTAATTAAAATAATTTTTCTTGTTGGGCGGTGGTGGTACGCAACTTTAATCCCAGCACTCAGAAGGCAGAGGCTGCCAGATCTCTGAATTCGAGGTCATCCTGGTCTACAGAGCAAGTTCCAGGACAGGCTCCAAAGCTACACAGAGAAGTCCTAGCTTGAAAATCACCCCTCCAAAAATTAATAAATAAAAAATTACTTTTTTTCTGTGTGTATGTGTTTCGACATATGAGCACACATGGAGATCAGAGAACAACTTTAGGGAATTAGTTCTTGCCTTCCACCATGTTGGTACCAAGGATTGAACTCAGGTCATCGTGATTGGTGGCTGGTACATTTCCCCACTGACCCTTCCTGCTGGCCCCCAGCCTCTGGTACCTCTTCCCTCATTAGCATTTTAATTAGTGCGGTACGTTTGTTACAGGTAATAAATACTGAGGTGTTACCCTTAAGTAAAGCCTGTACTTTATTCAGATGTCCTGACTCTTTATGTCTTATGTGACTGAGCTCTCAGTTGGAGGAGTCCCGGTCAGGTGGCCTATAGGATGGACCTCTATTGAGTTTAATGTTTTCTCATGCTTAGACTGGGGTTATGTGTTTTGGGGAGAAACCATTGAGTTAGGATGCTGTTTTAATCACTCTGCCTCCAGACCACAAGTCACTCCGATTCTTCTTCCTCAGATTTGTCGTTTCAGCGCTTTGCCAAGGTGCTTATTGGCTGTATCGCGGCCGTGGTCAGTGGCGTGATGCATGTTTTCTACTTATCAGCGTACCACGAGCGGAAATTCTGGTTTTCCAACAGGCAGGTAAGAAGAATTTTGAGCATATGAAAAGCATTTTCATACTTATTTTGAATAATGTGTTATTCAGGTTATATATATTATTTGGTAGGTATGGTAAATACCATCTTATTCATAGGTATTAGCATAATGTTATAAAAGCTCTTTTGAGACACAGTTACAGTATCAGCCTTAAAATATATAGTAAGCTGGGCATGTTGTTTAATGTCATTAATCCTAGCACTGGGGAGACAGAGGTAGGCAGATTGCTTGAGTTCTAGGCTAACTTGGTCTACATAGCTAGTTCCAGGCGGACCAGGCTTTCATAGAGAGACCCTGCCTCAAATAAAGTCTAATAAGGTAATTCATAAAGTAGAAATTAGGGGCTGGAGAGATGGTTCAGTGGTTAAGAGCATTGCCTGCTCTTCCAAAGGTCCTGAGTTCAATTCCTGGCAACCACATGGTGGCTCACAACCATCTGTAATAAGGTGCCCTCTTCTGGCCTGCAGACATACACACAGACAGGATATTGTATACATAATAAATAAATAAATATTAAAAAAAATAATTAAAAAAAATAAATAAAGTAGAAATTATTAGGGTGCTCTCCTTGTACAATTAATTTATTTGGGGGTGTTAGGAGAATCTGGTTCAAGTGTATGAGAACTGGCTGCAGGAGTCAGCATACTGAAGACAGACAGGTGGATCCAATTCAAGTGTATGAGAACTGGCTGCAGGAGTCAGCATACTGAAGACAGACAGGTGGATCCAATTGCAGGGCAGTTGGGGCTTGTGTGAACGTGGGTTGTGGGCAGTAGCCAACAAGGGAGGCTTGAGATTGGAATCCAAGAGAAGTGGTAAGAGAATGGTCAGCGCAATGCTAACTCCTTTTCGATGGAAGACACTGGCTCGTATCGAGCTGGGACCAAGGACATCAGGCACATTCATGGTGCTGATGTAGGCAGGATGTAAGGCTAAGATTCCAGGTGCCCACTCTGATAGTTGTGTTCGTTTATAGTAGCTAAGAGACCGGGAACAGATCAGAGCTACTCTGGAGAGCCATGGTCAGACCAAGCTGAATCTCTCTGAGGACTTGTAGTAAAGTCTGGTGGTATTGGTCAGCCTCTAAGGAGTTTAGCTCATATTTCAAAAATGTGAATTTCAGCATTAAAATACTTTAATGTTTAGATTACACATGTTTAATTTTGGGATTATATTATATAATTGCAGTTTTGGGGAAGGCTGAAGATGATTATCAGGTACAACAGGATTTACATTTTAAAATGTTATTTTTAAATTTTAAATTGCATTTATTAATTTATTGTGTGTATGTGTACAGTATGACAGGTGCCTTGATCCACTGCATCATCTAAGTGACTCCACTAACAGTGTTAAGATGTTGTTGCCTCGTGGTTAATGTTTGGGGTTTTAAATTATGTGTATTTCACAGAATCCTCAGTCTCTATAGTTATATTTGAAATATCACCGTTGGGCCTTTGAATAAAGCTGCTCTCAGAGCTCACCTGACTGTGGGCTTCTCAGAGTTCTGAGCTCGCGGTGCTGCTCTTGCTCATTGATTCTGAGCAGGCAGTCACGCTGACCGAGCGCTCTCAGACCCTCTTTGTGTAGAGAATGGATCTGAGTAGTTACTCCTCACATCTGTGTGTTGGTCAGGTTAGCACAGCAGCCTGTACTTTTTCCTTCAACGTCTGGATCAAAGCTGGCCATTTCAAGGGAAGTCAAATATGCACATTAAGTTCCAGAACAGCAAGACCTTGTCGAAAGAAAGAAAGAAAGAAAGAAAGAAAGAAAGAAAGAAAGAAAGAAAGAAAGAAAGAAAGATTGAGAGTCCATGGTTCCTCAAAGAAAGAAAGAAAGAAAGAAAGAAAGAAAGAAAGAAAGAAAGAAAGATTGAGAATCCGTGGTTCCTCAAATGTACCTGTTAAGGCCTCATTCTTATCATACTTAAGGTTATATATAGTCACAGAAAACACTGCTTTCTGCATTAATTTATCTTTTTTGTTTATCATGTATACAATATTCTGTCTGTATGCCTAAAGGCCAGAAGAGGGCGCCAGACCTCTTTACAGATGGTTGTGAGCCACCATGTGGTTGCTGGGAATTGAACTCAGGACCTTTGGAAGAGCAGGCAATGCTCCTAACCACTGAGCCATCTCTCCAGCCCATGGGCTTTTTGTTTTTAAAGTCATTTAATACTTTTTATACAGTGTCACACCAAGTAGCTCAGGCTGGCCAGGAATTCACTATGTAGCTCAAGCTAGTCTCAAACTTGATCCTCCTGCCTCATCTTCCTGAGTGCTAGAACTGTGCCTGGCTTTATTTTAAATCCTGACAAGAGTTTATTGTTATTACCTTTTATTACTATTGCTGTTTTAAGGATATTCTCTGGGTTTTCCTTCTAGAATTTCCTTATATATAAAACATAATGGACCAGTTGTAATTCATTTGAAACCGTGTTTTCACCAAAATGATTGCCAGACTGTTGAGATATTTAATCTTAGTAATATGGTAATTAAGGAAAATTAAAATATCTCCTGGAATAAAATGGTAAATCCTTGTTATGTCAATTTAAAATATGAAGGAGACAAACAACCAAACACAAGAAGATGAGGGGAAAAAAAAGAGTACAGCTGACATTTAACACTGACATCTCAATCCTGTTTCATTGTAGGAACTTGAACGAGAAATCACATTTCAGGGTGACAGTGCTATTTATTACTCCTATTACAAAGACATGTTAAAGGCGCCGACGTTTGAAAGAGGTATGGACACCTACACTTAAAATTGTAGTAACATTGTTCTAAAATAAGTAACTATTCCTAGAGAATAAGAGCTTTAGGAAGGGAATTTGTCTGAGAATGTAGGTTATGCTTTTATGTACATGATAAGAACGTTGGGGAAATGAGGCACCCATGTTGCACTTGAGTGTCTTTCTTTCCGTGTTAATCGTGTTGACTGATGAATGCCGTGCCGAGCCGTGGTCAGAGAGAACTCTGTGTGTTTAGGTGTTTACGAGCTGACGCACAACAACAAGACGGTCTCCCTGAGGACGATCAACGCGGTGCAGCAGCTGTCTCTGTACCCGGAGCTCATTGCCAGTGTTCTCTACCGAGCAACGGGGAGCCATGTAGGTAGTGCCCTCTACTCTAGATGTAGTTCATGTGTGAGAGTGTTCTGCTAGCACATCTGTAGTGCAGCACATGCGCGCCTGCCTGGTGTCTTCAGAGTTCAGAGGGCATCAGATCACAGCGGTGTTCAACTGTGGACCTCCACCCCTTTGAGGGTTGCATATCAGATACTTACATTATAATTCATAACAGTAGCAAAATTACAGCTGTGAAGTAGCAGCAAGTATTTTCTGGTTGGGGGTCACCACAGCACGAGGAGCTGTGTTAAGGATTTCATTCAGCATTAGGAAGGCTGAGAACCACTGTTCTGGAAGGCACAGGTGGTTGTGAGTCACGTTGTGGACTCTGAAATGGAACTGAGGTCCTCTGCAAGAAGAAAAACCGTCTTAACCACTGGGCTATCTTTCCAGCCCCCCTCTTTTTCACTTTATTGTCCGTTTTCTCACACAGTTGTGTATCCTTGGGTTGTTTAACATCATCCTCTGTCTCATCCCCTCTCTCTTTGCCTTTAGGAGATGATTGAACCAGTATATTTCTACATTGGCATTGTCTTTGGATTACAAGGAATATATGTGACAGCTTTATTTGTCACAAGTTGGCTTATGAGTGGCACATGGCTCGCAGGGATGCTTACTGTTGCGTGGTTCCTAATTAATAGGTATGAAAGGCTTTCTTATTGATACTACAAAATTTTGTTCCAGAAATATTCCCATCCTTACAATTCACAGCTATGATCTGCAAAGCCTATTGATTGTTATGCTATACGGTGCAGTTTAGGTAGATTCCCCTCAGGGCCTAATCTAGATATGATCATTGATAAAGCAGGTCTGGGAGCCTGGCAGTGGTGGCACACACCTTTAATCCCAGCACTTGGAGGCGCAGGAAGACAGCCAGGACTGTTTCACAGAGAAACCGTGTCTCAAAAAAAAAAAAAAAAAAAAAAAAAAAAAAAAAAAAAAAAAAAAAAAAAAAAAAAAAAAAAAAAAAAAAAAAAAAAAAAAAAAAAAGAGAAAAAACCAGGTCTGGGAAGCTGGTTCAGTGGTTAAAGCAGTTGCTGTACAAGTGTGGGAACTAGAGTTTGTGTTCCCAGAGCCTGTTAGATGCTGGGTGGACGTGGGCCTGCCTGTGATTCCAGCTCTCAGAAGTCTCCCTTGAGCCAGTTGGTTAGCCAGTCTTGTCATGTTGGCAAGCTCTCTGGTGATCATAAGACCCTACCTCAGCGAGTTAGATGGAGCACAATTGCGGACGGGTACTGAGTCAGCGTCAGGACTCTTTATACGTGGTTACACATGTGCTCCTGTACACTTGACAACACGTGTACACAGGTATATGCACACCCATATACACACGAGGGTAAAACAAAGCAGAAAGGGTCTCTAGCGACACCAGTGGTGACAGTAAAGAGACTCAGGTGGGTGGGACTCACTGGGCACAGCTGGAAGCCAAGAGAAGGTGAATTCTGTGAGCACTCAGTAAGAGTGTGCTCAGCCTCATGACCGGTCCATCCAAGAGAAGAGATTCCTGCAGATTGTCCTGTAACCCCAACGTGTACACCATGGCGTGTACCTAGCTGAGTTTTAGGTCCTCCTTGTCTGACTCAAAAAAAACTTAATCCCAGCCTGGTGTAATGGTGCACAGCATTAATCCCAGGACTGGGGAGGCAGAGGCAGGCGGACCTCTGTGAGTTTGTGGCCAGAGTTCCAGGACAGCCAGAGCTGCTACACAGAGAGACCCTGTCTCAAAAAAAAAAAATGCTATTTACAGTAAAATAATCCAAGAGACTGAAAGAATGTCATTGATAGATGTCTTTTTGTTGTTGTTAGTTTTTTTTGTTTGTTTGTTTGGTTTTTTGAGACACAGTTTCTCTTTGTAATAGCCCTTAGCTGTCTTGAAACTAGCTTTGTAGACCAAGCTGGCCTTGAACTCCCAGAGATCCGCCTGCCTCTGCCTCCTGAGTGCTGGGATTAAAGGGGTGCGGCACACCCCCCTACCCCCGGCTAATAGATGTCTTTTTATAACCGAGCCTTGGAGACAGAATCGCATCTCTCTGATAAACGTGCTATGGAAGGTGACAGCATTACCGCCAGAAGGCAGGCACCATTGATACCAATATAGAGGCCGCAGCGTCTGATAAAATTAATACTCTTTTCATTTGATCACTAACTATGGATCATGGCATTTTGGTAAGAAGCCTGAAAACCTTTTAATCTTTTTGCTGTTAAGGAACAGCATATAGTTTTTTACATGCTAGGTAGGGATTCTCCCACTGAGCCAGTTTCCTGGTAGTTTTTGTTTTTGAGACAGAATCTTGCTGTGTTGGCCAGGCTGGTCTCAGCTTGCTTTGTACCTGGTGTGGTATCAGATGCACGATCTTCTCCAGTACTGGAAAGGCAGACGTGTCCCATGTGAGGCTGGAGAGTGAACCCAGGTTCCGGGGCATGCTAGGTAAGCATTCATAGTAGTTAGGGGGATGGGCATCTTACTGATGAGTTTCTTTTTAGAAATATTTATTTTTACGTATATGGGTTTTGCCTGTGTGTATGCCTGTGCATCATATATGTATTCCTGGTACCCACAGGGACCAGAAGAAGGCGTTGGATGCCCTGGACTGTAGTTACAGATCACCACAAGTCTGCTATGTGCGTTTTGAGAATTGAACCTGGGTCCTCTGCAAGAGTAACCTTTCCCCAGCCCCCTGATGAACTTATTCTTGAAGGATCAATCCTCAGTACCACACGCTGCAAGGAAAAAACACTCTTCTGAAAGCAGCTGCCGGCTCTTCTCTCACGGGAGCTGCACAGCTAAAGCTGTGTTCAGTTTATTTTTTGTTCCTGCCTTTTTCTCTGCTTCCTTCAGGTATCCTCTGCTTCCTTTGTAGATTTTTCTGGCTTTCTCCTTCACCAGCTCACACGTGGGGCACCAGCTTCCCATCTCATCTGGAAGTCACAGCATAGCTATTTTAAGCAAAGGAGCTTTCCCTAGCTTTATTTCCCTTTAGCTTTTGTTTGGGTAAATCCGGGCCTTGTGCCTGCTAGGAAGTGTTCTGCACAGAACCCTGTAGTTGACCCTAATGTAAGCCACTGCATGTGCACGAGGGTGTGCAGTGCTGAGAGCTTGTGGCATCGCAGGTCATATAGCTACAGTAATATCTCATGGTAGCTTATTATTCCTATGTTTTTCATGAGCGGCAAGAAGGGAATTTACTTTTCAGCATAGTTGTACTAGAAAGACTAGAGACCAAGCCCTAGGTACACCACCCAGCATCCCAGGAATTGACCTGAGCTGTCAGTGTAGGTGAGGGAAGGGGACAGGTACTCAGAATTAAGCAGGCTTGTTTTCTCACTGTCCTCAGTTTTGGTTGGAAAGTTGCTCCCTTAAGGAGAAGTCTTTGTTGACATTTTGCTTGAGGAGACAACTTGGTTCCCATTGTAAGATGTTCCCTTCTGCTGGGGGAGTTTGGGGAGTGGGTGGTGTAGTTCCCTTGAGGGAGTAATGCGTTCTGCTTCTAGGGGCTGTCTCCTCAGAGTTTCTCTATCCATAGGGCTGCAGTGCCTTTGAGGATGCCTGGAGACTTGAGGCACTATTATGATAGTAAGAGCCCAGAGTCTACAGGATCCTTGGAAAGGCCCTTAGCTTGACTTCTCAGAAGGCTGCTTTTGCTGACCTGTGAACTGCTGCATTTTCCTTGTAGACCTTACTTGAGTATGGTTTTGGAGATTTGGGGCCGAGATTTGCTGGATCTGTTGCCTTGGGTGTGTGTGTCTCAGTCATGGCCAGGAAGCAGAGTGTAGTTTTAATTTTCACGACTTAATGCCCAATGTTGTTCATGCTCTAAGTTGGTAAAGTCTCTTTACATCGTTTCTAAAAACTTGAAATATTTGTGTAAAGTATCTTCACATCCTCTGTTTTACAGGACTGAGGGTTGTTCTCAGGTCATGCTCTAAAAGCTCTGTGAGTCTGAGCTGCATGCCGGTGTGTGTGTGTGTGTGTGTGTGTGTGTGTGTGTGTGTGTGTGTGTGTGTGTAGGGCGGTGGTGACCTTTCAGGGCTAGTTCCCCTCCACTGTGGGTCTCTCAGGGGTTGTTTGTTGGAAGCACCTTGGCCTATTGAGCCTCTCACTCACTGGTCCTGAATTTTTACTATTTTATACTCTTTATATTAGGTAACTAAAAGCTGATTACAACTTCATAATCATGGAACTAATCTGATTTCTGTTACTTTTTTATTTTCTATTTTTAATACTTTTGAGACAGGGTCTTGCTATATTTCTTTGTCTAGCATGGAACTTGATATATAGACCAGGCTAGCTCCAAGCTTGCAGCAATCCTCTGCCTTCCAAATACTGGTATTGCTGCTGTGAATCACCATGGCTCATCAGTTACAAGCTCTGGCTCATCTTCAGAGGACCCAGGTTCAATTCCTAGCACTCGAGTGGCAGCTCACGACTGTCTATAGCTCTAGTTCCAGGAGTCTGATGCCCTCTTCTGGCATCCAGGAGCACCAGGCACGCACATGGTACACAGACGTACATGCAGGCAAAACACCGTGTGCATGTGCATAAAATAACAAGGACTGAAATAAAGAGAAAAGCGTAGTGTCAAGCTTGCAGCCTCACTTCCGTGTCCTCTGGTTTGTTTTAGGGTGGATACAACAAGAATTGAATACTCCATTCCTCTAAGAGAAAACTGGGCTCTACCATATTTTGCGTGCCAAGTTGCTGCACTTACAGGCTATTTAAAAAGAAATCTAAATACTTACGCAGAGGTAAGACACACATCTGTTTTCTACATCACAAGTAATTCTGATGTTTTGCGAATGTGGCTCATGTTTGGTTTTTTGTTTGTTTTGTTTTGTTTTTGGAGACATAATCTCTTGTCATTCAGGCTGGCTTTAAGCTCATTATGTAGCTGAGACTAGGCCTTGAGTACTTAATCCACCTGCCTTCATGTAGTAGTACAATTGCTCAAAACCATGCTAAACTATGGTGCATAATTTTAAAGTCAGTCATATTAGGAGTGTGTATGTTCAGTGAAGCGTGTCATTAAGTAACGTGGCTGGGTACTCGTGTCACCATGTTTTTCCTATAATCTGATGGCAGCCAAATAATTTTAGGAAGACAGATGTTGTATTGCTTTTAGTGTGGTTATGTGACAATACATGAAGAATATCTCATTTTGGAGGTTAATCTAGCCGAGTATTGTTACTTCAGGGACATGCATGTCCTTTAGTCATACGAACCTAAAGAAACGATCCTGAAGATGCAGTGGTGACGGAGGATGGCAGTGTTTCCTGCCTGCCTGTCTTCCCTGCCTGCGATGTCGTAGGCTAGTCAAAGTGGAAGGAAACATCCATCTCAGATCATTTAGATCTTAATTTTTTGTTACTGTTACTGCCATAACCCTATTGGCAATTGAATGATGCCAATAGATTGAGCCACAGAATAACTTTAGTAAGATGCATGTCTGCAAGCCGGGTGGTGGTGGCGCACGTTTTTAATCCCAGCACTCGGGAGGCAGAGGCAGGAGGATCTCTGTGAGTATGAGGCCAGCCTGGTCTACAAAATTAGTTTCAGGACAGCCTCCAAAGCTACAGAGAAGCCCTGTCTCAGAAAAAAAAAAGATGCGTGTCTGAAGAGGCAGCTAATTACATCACAGTTGACTGGAATGTAGCAGCCCTTTGGCAACCTGCCTGTCTTGAGATCAGAGAGACCAAACAAGTCTACTAATAATAAACCTGACTGTCCGGAATACAGGGCAGGAATAAGGGCAGGAGTGTGGGTCCATGGAGGCGAGCATGTGCAAGGGCTGGAGGTTCTACCTCAGCACCATAACCAAACAAAAAGCAATGAGAGGAATCAATTGGATTCCTCCCTCTATTTTAAATCTCCATTTGTTCTTTACGTAAACAAGAAGTAAACATACCCGGTGGTGGTGGTGGTGGTGCATGCCTTTAATCCTGGCACTCTGGGGACACAATCAGGTGGATCTTTGTGAGTTCAAGGCCAGCCTGGCATACAAAGCTAGTTCCAGGACAGCCAGGACAATTACACAGAGAAATCGAAAAACAAACAAACAAACAAACAAAAAAACCAAAAAGAAGGAAAACACAATAGGAAACTGAAAGGTAATATTCTTTTTACTCTAGGTTCATTTACAGTGATGGCTGTTGTGGAATATTATTTTAATTTGGCAAAAATGTGCTACATTTGTTTATGTTTGTTGCAGGCTATTTAACTGTGTAAAGGTGTGTTACATTTGTTTAATGATGTAAGGATGTGTGTTTATGTAAAGATGTGTTTCACCTTGCCTGCCTAAGGCAGCTGATTGGCCTAATAAAAAGCTGAATGGCCAATAGCTAGGCAGGAGAGGGACAGGCAGAGAATAAATAGGAGGGGAGGAGGGGAGGAGGAGGAGAGAATGAGTAAGATGCCTGGGGCCACTGCCACCTGTGTTCTTTCCCTACCTATGGGGTCCTGGGTATCACTTGGGTTGTCAGACCTGCAGAGTCTCTGGGCAGTCGTGCTACACACAGCTCCATGGTAGAATGCTTGAGTATTCACACTTGAGTGTCAGCCCTAGTACCAGGAGGAAACACAGAACTATGGGAAATTGCTCTGACAGATATGAAATGTGTTCATGTTGTTTACATGAAGATGAAACATGCAAGGTATAAAAGTTAAACTATAAAGTGCTGTGTTTGGGGTGCTTGTCCTGCTAAAAGGAAGAACAGGATGTGTTCAGACTTATAACCCAGGCTGGCCTTGGGTCTTCTTAGTCTGCTTCCAAGAACTGGGATGGGGAAGCACAGTCCCAAACATGGCTCATTTTTAGCGTCCAGTTCTACATGGCTGATGAGTAGAGCATTGGAGGAAAACAGGCCAGACTTTGGTTAGGAGCAGAGTCTTGGCCAGGCATCCCCAACTCCTGATAGTCTTTAAGAAAATAACCAGCACAGATGAAAATAAAAATATTATTCTAGGACAAAAGAAGCTTCTGTATTAACAACAGCTCACCACCCACCCCACTGATGGTACTCCAACCCCGCCCCCATTGTTCTACCCCTGTGTAATACAGTACTGGAGGACGGGTGCTGATGCGCTGAAGTCTGCGTGTTGTGAAGATAAGACAGGCGCTCTCTACATAGCCCTGGATGTGTCCTAGAACTGACTATGTCAGACTGATCTTGAACTCATAGATATCCACTTGCCTCTGGCCCAAGGGCTGGGATTAGAACCTGCACCCCCACCGCTGGCTGGCATTGTGATTTGTAGCTTCAGGTGCTGGGCGGCTCCTTGGTTTACAGTGTAATCTAATCTACTGATCTTATATGACTTTTCTCTAGAGGTTTTGCTACCTGTTGATGAGCGCCTCAACGTACACTTTCATGATGGTGTGGGAGTACAGCCACTATATCTTGTTTCTTCAAGCAGTCTCCCTCCTGCTGCTGGACGTCTTCTCAGAGGAACAAAGTGACAAGGTAGTGTGACATTTTCAAATGAGGAATTTAAATACAAAAACTAGTGATTTTACAGCATTGTCTCTCAAAACCTTTTCTATATCTCCATCCATTATTCTCAGCTGTTCAGAACTCTGATGAGCATCACGATTTAAACTAATTAACAGAAAGAACCTATTGTAAAGATTTAATAGCCAGGACTGTGTGCCAAGTTGAGTGGCAGCGCCCTGTGCTTACCGTGCGGAGGACCCAGTTTAGTTGTCACACCAGAACCCTTAACCCTTTCCACCTTCCAGAACAGTCATTAATCAAGAGCAAAGTTGTTGTCTTCATTGGTCAGTTGAAAGGGTGGTGGTAATAGGGGCCCTACGGTATTATGGAAGTAGCGACCACTGGAAGCAAGAGGGATGGAACACATGACCAAGTTTGGAAATTACACCTGTCTTCTCAGCTTCAGCAGGAAGAGGTCTGTTGGGATCAAGAACTGACGGTCTTAGGTAAGGTTTGGAGAAAGTGCAAGCCAACAAGAAGCAGGAAGAGAGCGAACATCTCCTTCCAGCTCTGCACTTTCCCTGAAGCTGTCCTATTGCCAGAGCTTCATCTAGAAGGGAGAAGTGGGCTGCGCAGCTGAGGGCTCCTCTGTTCCTGCCCACACTTGTATGGAATTAGCCAAGAATTGCACATTACCAACACCAGAAGACTATTATACTGAGGCATGCTAGCGTCTCCGAGGGTATCATGACTTGTTAACAGTGAAATCTCTTTTCAGATTTATTTATTATTATTTTTTTAAGTTATGTTTTGTTTTCTTTTGTTTTTTTCCAGATAGGGTTTTTCTACTTAGCCCTGGCTATCTTGGAACTCTCTCTGTAGACTAGGCTGGCCTCGAACTCACAGAGATTGGCCTCCCGAGTGCTGGGATTAAAACCATGTGCTGCCATCACCACCAGGTGCCTTTTTTAATTTTTTTGAGACAAGTTCTTGCCATATAGTTCAAGCTGGCCTTTCCTCATAATCCCCCTGCATAGCCATCTATGTTTGCTGACAGTGCTGCACCTCACCTACACAGAACCGACTTGATAGCAGAAAAACCAACCCGATTCAAGTACGGTATTAAACAAGGTTCTTTAGCTCTCACTTGTGAGTTTAGAGCTCTTTACTTTTCCCATAGGATGCTAAGAAGAAATTGGTAAATTCATTATAAACTACAACGGTAAAAATACAGATTGAAGCTGGGTGGTGGTAATGCACGCCTTTGTCCTGGCACTTGGGAGACAGAGGCAGGTGAATCTCAGTGAGTTCAAGGCCAGCCTGGTCTACAGAGTGAGTTCCTATAGCCAGGAACTCTGTCTAGAAACCAAAACCTACAGATTGAACATTTCCTGGCATTACCTTAACGTATAACGGAACATTTGCTTAGAATTATGATTTTTAAAATTAATTTTATTCTCTTCTACTTTATTTTGTTCCAACAGATTTACGAGGTGTATAAAATCTACATATTTTCCCTTTTCCTTGGGTATTTACTACAGTTTGAGAATCCAGCTCTATTGGTGTCTCCTTTGTTGAGTTTAGTAGGCGCGTTAATGCTAATTAAGTGCCTTCAGGTAATCAACATTGCTGTTTTTAAAAAGTAGCCTCATTTTAGATCATTAATTTTACAACTCCTTTTGTTCATGTAATGTTTTTCTTTTGTAGCTGAATGGGAAAAAAGGAACTTTTGTGGCTAAAGTAATCAAAGTGTTTAAGTTTTATTTGGTATGTACTCTGCCACTGACCTTGAATTTGATAATGAAGGTAAGGAACTCTGAGATTTATTTCTTGATTAATTTGAGTAGAGAAATATATTAGGCCAGCTTTAATGAGAATGATAATCTAACAAAGGAATAGAGTACATACAAAATTATCTTCAGTGATACAGGGAGTTTGAGGCTAGTGTCCTCTACATCAGACTGTGTCAAAAATCAAATGAATCAACAAAAATTTCTGCAGGAGCAGGGATTATTTGAATTAGCTTTCCTAGGTTGTTATTTTCATCCTCTAAAAATGCCATTTCATTTTTGCCTAAGCATACAGTAAATGTGTTCATAGTAGACATTGTGTGCTATTTAATTCACCGTTCTTTTAATCAGGCTGTGTTTTCTATCATTAGTAACTGAAAATAAGTATATTAAAAGCATAGACATATCTGGATGGTGGTGGTGCACGCCTTTAATCTCAACACTCGGGAGGCAGAAACAGGCAGATCTCTTGAGTTTGAGGCCAACCTGGTCTATAGAGCATATTCTACAATAGCCAGAGCTAGATGGAGAAACCCTGTCTCGAAAAACCAAAAAATAAAAAAAGAAGAAAGCATTAGGCATGGGAAGCATTCTTTGTTTACGTAATGTTTTCTGTGAGAGTGGCGTGTCGTGTCCGTGATGCCTGACTGCCTGATTCTCTCTCTTCTAGACATTTGTCCCACACAAAGAAAATGAGCATGTGCTAAAATTTCTTGAAGTAAAATTTGGACTAAATGTGACTAAGTAAGTTTCACATTTGCAAGTTCACCTAATCTGTAGCACCTAGAAAATAAAAAGAACCCTTGATGGAGGGAGTGTGTGCCTTGTTACATGTTGCTTAGAAAATAGTTTTGGATATTATGTAGAAGATTACTTTTTTGTTTTGTGGTATTAAGGATAGTCTCCAGGGTCTTGTGAGTTATAGGCAATGTCCTACCCCAAAACTATAGCCCTAGCTCTATAGAAAAGACATGCCATTGATTTTTGGATTAGAGGGGGGTGGTAGTGCATTGGCCTACTATGCACGGGGCCCTAGTTCTACACCCAACACTGCAGGAAAAACTCATGGTCAGCATGCTTGGCACATGGTTTGAATACCTCACACACAGTATAAATACATTTCTAGTCTCCTAAAAAGTAGATACACTTAAACTTCTAACAGCATTATAGTATTCCTATTTAACAATCTTCATTGTTGTATATGGATATGTTGTATATGTGTGTAAACATGAGTTTGCCACAGCACATGTCAGGATCACAGGGTAGGTTTTGAGAGTTAGTTCTTTTTATTGTTTTGGCCTGTCCTGGAACTAGCTCTTGCAGACCAGGCTGGCCTCAAACATGCAGAGATCCGCCTGCCTCTGCCTCCCTAATGTTGGGATTAAAGGTGTGCGCCACCACTACCACCCGTCTAGAGAGTTAGTTCTTTTCTTCCACCAGGAGTCCTGGCAGTCAGACTCAGGTTATGGGGCCCTGTGTAGGCCTAGCTGTCCTGGAACTCACTCTGTAGACCAGGCTGGTCTCGAATTCAGAGATCCGCCTGCCTCTGCCTCCCAAGTGCTGGGATTAAAGGCGTCCAGCACCATCGCCCGACTCTTATTTTTATTCATATGTATGTGTGTGGCAGCTTGCATGTGCAGGTGAATGAAGGGACCAAATTCTCTGGTGCTGGAGTTGCAGGTGGCTGTGAGAGTCTCAGCTCCACCTGATAAAGGAACTGAGACTGAACTTAGGTCCTCTGCAAGAGCCTCGAGTGCTAATAACCACCAAGCCATCTCTCCAGCTCTCTCATAGTATTTTCAAGTCTTACCTTTGGTTACGATTAATGGCACAGTCTAAACTTAGAGTAATTAGCCGTCGTGGCTGGAGAGGTAGTAAAGGGGTAGAATGCTGGCAGGTAAGCAGCCCTAGGTTTCATCTTCAACACTGCAGAAACAGAACTAAAGCAGCCAGTAACCACGTGTATACAGCATGTGTTTATCTTTAAAAAGCACAGGAGCAGGCTTGGAATGTTGCTTAGTGATCAAGCATTTGCCTCGCATGTGAGAGGTCCTGCATTTGATTTCTAATACTGCTAAAGAAGAGGAAAGGGCAGAGGGAGACAGGGGAGTATTTGTTTCATATAACAGTCATTGGGTTTATAATAATAAGACCAAAAGCTGACTGGGTTTTATTTTAAAAATTTAATTTTTAAAAATTTTTTTAAATTAAATTTTAATTTTAATTAAAAAATAATGTTAGGCCAGGCAGTGGTGGCGCACACCTTTCATCTTAGCACTTGGGAGGCAGAGGCAGGTGGATCTCTGTGACCAGCTTGGTCTACAGAGCAAGTTCGAGAACAGGCTCCAAAGCTACACAGAGAGACCCTGTCTCAATAAAACAAAACAAAACAAACAAACAAACAAAAAAGAAACCAACAACTAAATGTTGTGTTTCTAGTAGTTGTTGCTTTATGAAACTGTCCTGATAGTATTGTCTAACAGATGTTTGCTTACACATGTCTCATATTCTAGGAAAGGTTGAAATCTTTGTTACTTTTATGATTAAATAGGATTGTAGATTGAATTTCTTGTTATTCTATATAGCACAGTTAGCAAATGAAATGTTTGATGTATATTTATTCACTAGACAGGATCCTTGAGGAGACGCTAATGGCCTGGTGCATGGACAGTGAGAGCTCTTTTTTCCGTTGACTACCCCACCCTCTCTGAGTGCCCTGGCTGTTCTGTTGATTTTTGTAGACCAGTCTGGCCTCGAACTCAGAGTTACCTGTCTCTGATTTTAGTTTTGGGACTGCAGTTGTATACATCCCTGGGTTCATTCCCCAGCACCATGTAAGCTGTGTGTGGTAGCACATGCCTGTAGTCCTGGTATTACTTGGTAAGATGGAAACTGGCAAATGAGTGATCAAGGTCATCCTCCCCTACATAGAGAACTGGTGTTGATGAAGCCGTGGGATACATGACACCGTGACGTAAAATAACAACAGTAATAGCATCTTCAGCCCCAATATGAGATATTTTGGTAACATCTATTACTGCTATTTTCCTGCTTGGCACATTTTCAGGCTTCAATTTGTTTTTTAAAGTCAAGTCATTTTTGAAATAGACATTTGAACCTACCCATGAACACTTTTAAAATTTTGTTATTTTATATGAATGAGTGTTTGCCTGCATGTATGATGTGCAACACATGTGTACAAGTGCCCAGAAGGTACTGGATCCCCTGGAACTGGAGCCACAGATGGTTGTAAGTCTTAGTGCATGTATGTGCACCATATACATGCAGGTGCCCGAGGAGAGGGCATTAGGTCCCCTGGAACTGGAATTACAGCAGATTGTGAGCTGCCATGTGGGTGCTGGCAGCCAAACCCAAGTCCTACGGAAGAGCAGCTTGTGCTGTTAACTGCTGAGCCAGCTCTTCAAGTGTACCATGAGCACTCTAAGCAGCACTCCATCTCTTACTTGGGAGTGTGGCCCAGTGGTAAAAATTGTGATGCTGAGTGATGGTGGCGCACGTCTTTAATCCCAGCACTCAGGTGGCAGAAGCAGTCAGATCTCTGTGAGTTTGAAGCCAGGGTCCAAAGATGCAGAGAAACCCTGTCTCTGAAAACCAAAAAAAATAAAAAGTGTGTGTGTGTGTGTGACATTGAACTCAGGTTTTCAGGCTTGACAACATGAGCCTTTACCCAGCAAGCTATCTTACTGGCCCCAGTTTCATAGATCATGACTGTTCATGGTCATTTGGTTCACTGTTTCTGATCCATGGCGACTAGCTTGTAATGAAAGAGGTTAGGAAGCAGAGAGAGAAGGAAGGGGCGGGGACAAGATGTGTACTTCAGAGGCATCCGTCTGGGGACTGACTTTCTCCAGAAAGGCTCTGTAGACAGAAGCTTCTGTCCTAATGGTCCCACAGCCGTTCAGTTCCAAAGAAACACATAGAGGCTTATGTTAATTATAAACTGCTTGGCCTATTACTCAGGCTTATTGTTAACTAGCTCTTGCAGCTTAAATTAACCCATAATTCTTGTCTATATGTAGTTGAATGGCTTGGTATCTTTTCTCAGGCAGTCTCATCTTGCTTCCTCTGTGTCTGGCTGACGACTGCATCTCTGCCTTTCCTCTTCCCAGAATTCTCTTAGTCTTGTCACCCTGCCTATATTTCCTGCCTGGCTATTGGCCAGTCAGTATTTTATTAAACCAATACGAGTGACAAATCTTTACAGTATACAAGAGCATCTCCCACAGCAAGGCCCCATCTTTTAAAGTTTTCCTACCTCCCAATGATGCCGTCCCATTATGAGTCCATCAGTCCATGACCTAATGAGTTCCTCTGACCTCCACCCCAGAACACTGTGCTGTTGGGAATGTGGTTTTTGGTTTACAAACTGTGACTCTGGTAGGAGAAGCAGCAGTGTTAGATTGTGAGAAGTTTAGATGAAGGCGGGTGCTTTGTAGTAGCCAGACCTCCTCTTCATGTATAACTGCATCCTTGCTGTCACGACGAGTGGTTTTAGAAAATGTGTTTTGTCTCCGTTTACTGGGATTTTTAAAATACCTTTATGTTCAGTGCTTAAAGCACGTGTGAGTCTAACAGCACACATTTTGTCTCTTGTAGGAATTTCACACTGAACTGGCTGCTCTGTCAGGAGTCTCTCCAGGCACCGTCTCAGGATTTCTTCTTACGACTGACACAATCTTCCCTATTACCATTCTATATTTTAGTGTTAATTATTTGTCTTCTTTCTATGACACAAGTTATTTTTCGGAGGATGAAGTAAGTGTTTATAATAATCAGTTGTAAAGATACTAAATACTTTAAGTAGTGCATGGGTGTGTGTGCCTCTGTTGGTCTGGTGCTGGGCTTTGATAGCCCAGGGCCTTGTGAACATTGAGCTTCTGCTCCGTCACCAAGTTGTACTCAGACCCAGCTGTTTTTTGGAGACTGGGTTCAGGACTTGGGGTGCAGTGCTATGGCAGAGCACTTAGCTAGCCTGCTTGGGTTCCACTCTTGAGGAGGAAAGGAAGAGAAAGGGTCTGCCATGCTGCCACAGGTGACACCGAGCTTAGATTCCCCCAGCAACCCTCCTGACTCAGCATCCAGATCACTGAAAACTGCAGGTGTGTGCCACCTCCATCTCAGCACTGTTGGGTTTAGAGCCTCTGATTCTGGTCTTTTGTCGTTGGTCATTATAAATTAATCAGAAAAGCTCAGGTTAACGTTATTCAGTGAAGATTTAGAATCCAGCTTGGATAAACAAATATGTAAGTAATAGATTAAGCTTTTGCAGACTTACTAATTTACTAAAATTTTTATTGAATTAAAAATAATATATTTGACTGGATATGATGGTGCATGGCTTTAATCCTAGCACTTAGGAGGCTGAAGTAGGCTGATCTATGATTTTGAGGCCAACCTGATCTACACAGCAAGTTCCAGTATAGCCAGGACTATAAAGGATAACCCTATCTTGGGAGATTGAAACATTTTTATAGATATTACAGTACAAATCACACTAGTACTTTCATTTCAATGTAATTATATAATTGCTGTCAATTTTTCTGAGTATGATAGGTCATGCCTATAATCCAAGCACTCAGGAGGCTGAGCTAGGAGAATTGTGAATTTAAGGGCAGCCTGCACTAGGCCACATAGTGAGAACCTGTCTCAAAAAAATGAAACAAGGGAGCTGGAGAGGTGGCTCAGAGGTTAGGAGCACTGACTGCTCTTCCAGAGGTCCTGAGTTCAATTCCCAGCACCCACATGGTGGCTCACAGCCATCTGTAATGAGGTCTGGTGCCCTCTTCTGGCCTGCAGGAATACATGCAGACAGAATACTGTATACATAATAAATAAATAAATCTTTAAAAAAAAGAAACAAAAGCAAAATCAAAACAATAACAAAATAAAAATAACTATGTATGTTAACCATATTTAATATATTATTAAATGTAATTAATAATTTCAAATGTTATTGACATTAATTATGAACATTTATTTTATATTATTAATACAAATGTATTAATATATTAATTTATAATAGCATCATTATAATTATGTGTATTGATATGTTTATTATGCTAGAAAGGTGGTTGTGTATGTTTGTAATTTTAGCACTTGAGCAGTAAGGGCCTAGTTCAAGGCCAGCCTAGCCTACATACCAAATTCAGAGCTAGTCAGACTAACCAAACATGTAAGAATACACGTAAGAATTACTAGCTGGGCAGTGGTGGCACACGCCTTTAATCCCAGCACTCGGGAGGCAGAGGCAGGGGGATCTCTGTGAGTTCGAGACCAGCCTGGTCTACAAGAGCTAGTTCCAGGACAGGCTCCAAAATCACAGAGAAACCCTGTCTCGAAAACCAAAAAAAAAAAAGAAAGAAAGAAAGAATTACTAGTAGTTAGTTCCCAGTCAGTTTCCCTGCTTGTAGAGTGCATGCTTCCTTACAGGCAGACAATATGTACAACACATGTATAAAGACCTATGCTTGGTGACCCCAACGCTATAATAAAAGAAAAAAGTATCTTGAAGACCCGTAGTCTCAACTCTGTATAGCCTAAAGCAAAAGGATTGCCTGGAGTAGAGACAAGCTTAGCAACAGAATATGTTCTAGGTCCAGCCTGAGCTAATGGTGAAGCCCTTCATCCAAACAGCAACAAAAACAAAGCAAACAAACAGAAGCAGGATGATGGTTAAGCATAGCTCCTTAGCTCTGCAGTCTAAGTGTCATGGCTAGCATTGCTAGTTCAGGCATAAGGGATCTTAGAGAAGGAGAAGAAATTCAGTTTTAGGTATAGCCTTCAAAGATGATAATGTATCTTTGATTTTCCGTGTATATTTTTCCAAACTGTTAAAAACATATTTCCTTTATATAGTGGTAAATCCCAGAAAGAAATGGTAACTCTTGAAGACGGGAGAATTGGAGAAAGGCCAGAAATCATTTATCATGTCTTTCATAGTCTTATACTGGGTTCTCTTGCAATGCTGATGGAAGGGTAAGTTCATTTATTTATCAGTTATTGCTATAAAACTTATCCTCTCTACGGATAGCTTGTGAGTACATTTAAAACAGTTTGTGAATTTAATCCCAGCACTCGGTAGGCAGGGGTGGGCAGATCTACGGGTTCCAGCCAGCCTGGTCTACATAGTGAATTCCAGGACAGCCAGGGAGGGCTACACAGAGAAACCCTGTCTCAAAAACCAAACACCAGTAACAACAACAAAAATTACAAACTTTTAAAATATAAATAAATTTAGCAAAGGTTTTTTTTTGTTTTGTTTTTTGTTTTTGATTTTTCTTTTTTTAAAAAAATATTTATTTGTTTATTATATATACAATATTCTGTCTGTGTGTATGCCTGCAGGCCAGAAGAGGGACCTTTGGAAGAGCAGGCAATGCTCTGAATCTCTGGAGCCATCTCTCCAGTCCCTGTTTTTGATTTTTTCTTTTCTTTTTTTTTTTTAAATATTTATTTATTATGGATACAGTACTCTGTTTGCATATATGCCTGCAGGCCAGAAGAGGACACCAGACCTCTCTACAGATGGTTGTGAGCCACCATGTGGTTGCTGGGAGTTGAACTCAGGTCCTTTTGAAGAGCAAGCAATGCTCTTAACAGCTGAGCCATCTCTCCAGCCCCCTCTTTTTTTTTTTTTTTTTTTAAAGATTTATTTATTTATTATGTATACAGCATTCTGCCTCGATGTATGCCGGCATGCCAGAGGAGGGCATCAGATCTCAGTACAGATGGTTGTGAGCTATCATGTGGTTGCTGGGAATTGAACTCAAGACCTCTGGAAGAGCAGCCAGTGCTCTTAACCTCTGAGCCATCTCCCCAGCCCTGTTTTTGATTTTTTTGCTTTGGGTTTTTGAGACAGGGTTTCTCCGTGGCTTTGGAGCCTGGCCTGAAACTCGCTTTGTAGACCAGGCTGGTTTCGAACTCACAGAGATCCGCCTGCCTCTGTCTCCCGAGTGCTGGGCTTAAAGGCGTGCGCCACCGCCGCCGGGTTTAACAAAGATTTTTATAATATGGCAAACTGAAACACTCTTGAATGTCTTCTAAGATTCATGCATTGTCCTAAATATGTAAAGTACAGTAGTAAGTGACGTGAACGCAGGGTTTCTACTCTGTGTAACTTGACTAATGAGCCAGCAGATGTGAATTACACAGGCTGAAGTCATAACTTGATAGTTGAAGGGAGGGTGAATGGGGCCGTGGACGGGACTGGAAAAGGTGCCTAAGTGGGGCCTGAAGAGTGGGCAAAGGTGGATTTGTGAGCACTCCAGGCAGAGGGACCCCACTGCCAAGCTCTGGTAGGAAGCAGGGTGGAGGACAGTTACCTATGGTGGCCTCACAACAGGGCTGTGGCGGGCTGAAGTGGGGTGCGGTTCTTTTGTTTTTTTTCCATGTCTTTATTTTTTTGTTCGTTTGTTTTTTTGAGACAGGGTTTCTGTCTAGCTTTGGTGCCTGTCCTGGAACTCTCTCTGTTGACCAGGCTGGCCTTAAACACAGACATTCCCCTGCCTCTGCCTCCTGAGTGCTGGGATTAAAGGTGTGCACCACCACAGCCTGACTGTTTTCATTGTTTTTATTGCTTTTAAATGATAAATGAACCCTTGATGCCCTTAAGTATAGGCAAGCCAGATGTTTACATTTCTCTCTAATTATCCTGTTATTGTATGTTTTTAACTTTGCTAAGGGAGGTATCTGCATGCAGTCTGTTATGTGAACTTCGTAGGTGTGCCTGCTCTGACTAGCACCATCAATGACCTCACTAGGCAATATTACCTTGTGGGATCACTGTCATATGTCCGTCATGTCGATACTGCTATTAATATTCAGATAAGTTATGTCACAGTCACGTAGGAGGCAAAGGCAGGTTGCTTTCTGGGAGTTCAAGGCCTACACATTGATTTCTAGACCAGTCAGGGCTATATAGTGAGACTGTTTCTTAATAAGGAAACAGAAACAACAACAACAAAACCTCTAAAATTGACATCTCTAATTTATTTGTAAGTTTTTGGTTTTCATATCTCCCTTATTCCTACTTGTAAATAAATTCATACCAACATGTTAATAAACTTCATGAAAATGTATTTCTTAACCTAAGGTTTTGTTGTTGCTGTTTTGTTTTTTCTCGCCTTGAGCTTGAGAACCTCAAAAATCTGTTTCCCCTTTTTGTGCACCACTAGGTATTGAACCCAGGACCTCGCACATGCTAGGCAAACAGTGTCTGTGCTCCTGGCCCAAGCAGAGGCTTACGTTTTTATATGTAAGTCAGTTGTGGCAAATAAGATGGGATGCTTAAGATGCAAGTGCAGTGTTCAGGTCTCCTTAAGGCCATCCCTACTTTTGAAACCAACCACAAGTTTAGAAGTTCCCCAGACATTCTTGGTTCTATTGCTAGAATTCACAACCAGAATAGTCATTGTCTTCACGTTTGCTACTCATTACAGCAACACATGTCTATATAATGAGCAGAAGACGGAGACCCACAGAATGGGGTTCAGGAGAGACATCGGCACAGGGCACTAGTTATCCTCACGCTGTGGAGATGCATGAACAGGAACAGAGCGTACACAAGGGCCACAGCTGTCAGTCAGGGAAGCCCATCTGTGTTCAGTTGTCACTGGTGCTCACAGGAAGTTGGCCATGTGTGTGGCTGGCCTGATTGTGAAGCCTTTCCAGAGATTGAACTAATACTCTGTGCCCAGGAACCCACAATAAGTCATGTTCTTAGCATAACTCTTATTCTTGGCCTACCCATCCCATCTCTACAGAGACATCCCTTTCAGGCAGGTGCTTCCTTCCTTGGAATAGAGGGCATAGGCCGGAGCACTATGTGGAAAATTAACATTGATTCACAATAAGTGAAATGCGTGAAAATAAATATGATGGAAGGTAACTGGTGATGCTTTTTGCATGATGATTTTTTTTCATATTTATTTATTTATTATGTATACAATACTCTGTGTGTATGCCTGAAGGCCAGAAGAGGGCGCCGGACCTCTTTACAGATGGGTGTGAGCCACCATGTGGTTGCTGGGAATTGAACTCAGGACCTTTGGAAGAGCAGGCAATGCTCTTAACCACTGAGCCATCTATCCAGCCCTGCATGATGATTTATTATTATTAAATTGTAATTCAAGGGACTAGAGACACAGCTCAGTCATTAAGAGCTCTGGCTATTCTTCCAGTGGTCCTGAGTTCAAATCCCAACAACCACATGGTGGCTCCCAACCATCTGTAATGAGATCTGGTTCCCTCTTCTGGCCTGCAGGCTTGCAGAAGTGTCAGAAGTTCAAGGTTGTTGACCTGGCCACATCACTACTTCCTTTCCCCGACATTGATTCTTGAAACCTAACCTAAAAAATAAAGTTAAAAAAATAAAAAGAATGAAAAGGAAAGTCAGATTTGATAGCTCATGCAGTCAGAAGGCTGAAGCTGAGGGATTACCTTGAGTTTGAAGACAACCTAGGCTGCAGGATGAGATCCTGTCCCAAAAACCAAAGGAAAAGCCAGTCACAGTAGCTCATGTCTGTAATCTCAGAAGGCTGAGGAAGGGACTCTCACTGGTAAATGTCAGCCTACATAGTGATTTCCAGAACAGCCTGGACAACTGAGGAAGGGCACCCTGTCTCAGAAAAGAAGGAAAGAGGGCTTCACCTTGAGGTGCACACCTATAATCCCAGCACTTGGAGGCAGAGACATGTGGATCTGTGAGTTCGATGCCAGCCTGGTCTCCACTATGGGTCCTTGTCTCAAAAGTAAACAACCATTTGGGAGCGGATCTGTTGGTAACATTAGAAGTAAAGATTTTTCACTCTGCCATAATATCTGTGGCTAGTTAAACAGAATTTGAAAAGGAGAAATCAGATAATGACAGTTACAGTGCACGATATGTGACTCATTTTGGTGTGGGACTTACTTTTTTCCAGCTTGAAATTCCTCTGGACCCCGTACGTGTGCATGCTGGCCGCGTTTGGCGTCTGCTCCCCTGAGCTGTGGATGACACTCTTAAAGTGGCTTCGGCTGAGGACTGTGCACCCTATCCTGCTGGTGAGCCATTGTTTCCTGTGCAGTACTGCTTACCCACCAGCTATGTCAGATAATCACAGCAGGTGACCTGTTGGATGAACAGCTCTGACGGGGACCCCACCTGGGAAAGACCGTGGGGCTTTACACTGACTGCCAATGGCTGGTTGTTTCTGTCTGCAGTTTTCCTCATGTGCCAGCCATGGGTATTTTCCCCTGCTTGTGCGTTTGTCTTGGGAAAATATTCCATCGACTGGGCACACATGGAGCCGTGAATTATCAGGAGGATGATTTCTGCTAAGAGCTGTTCTTGTGCCGGGTGATAGTGGCTCACTCCTTTAATCCCAGCACTCAGGAGACAGAGGCAGGTCCATCTCTGTGAGTTCAAGGCCAGTCTGGTCTACTGAGTGTGTTCCAGGAGAGCCAGGGCACCACCACCCAGCTATGACAAACATTTTTAAAAGTTCTCTTTTCTTGTTCTTGTTCAGACCGGGTGCTTGGCTGGGTAGTGAAGGGTGATCTTGATCTCCTGCGTCTGTTGCCTTCATCTTCTCGGTGCTAGGATATCAGGGCTGGGGCCTGAATCCAGAACCTCCTGAGTGCTAACCAGGTTCTCCACTGGCTCATCTGTACCCTGTTCTATGGTTTGTTCATTTGTTTTTGAGATGGGGTTGGATGTAGCTCGGCTGGCCTTGAACTCCTGATCTTGCTTCCAACACCCAAGTTCTGGGCTTATAGGTGTGCAACCGCCACACCGAGCTTTCAGTTTCATTTTGAGACAGGGCTTTTCTTTATAGCTCAGGTTATCCTCAGACTCACAGCAATCCTCAAAAAGTGGAAATACAACCATGAGCACTACTCTTGGCTTATAATTTTTCGTTTAAACAAATGCATTTCCATTTATGTACTTACAAAATAAAAGGGAAAAGTTGAAATGAATCTGTAATATGATATACCACTAGAATTTCTTCCTAACTGCTCTTATGGATGATAAGAATCATTTGTTTGCTTATATATATGTAGTTTATTTTTAAAAAAGAAAACAAACTCTTTTTTCATTTTACATACCAGCACCAATTCCTACTCCCTCCCCTCCTCCCCTCCTCCCCACCTCTCCACCTCCATCTACTTGTCAGAGTTGCTAAACGACATTGCTTTGGGGAAAGTCCAAGGCTGAGCAAGGTAGCCATCCAAAGACATTTGTTTGTTTTTAAATGTTTAAGATACTATTGTAGCTTTTATTTATTTTTTAACTATATTTTTATTTATTCTTCGTGGTGTTCATGTTAAGTATCCCAAACCCATTCATTTCACCGCCCTTCATATCCACTCTTTGCCCTTGCAGCCTCCCCTCTCCACCTCCCCAAAAAAACCACATAAAGTTTAAGAGAAACTGCTGTTGCCCTGTGTCATAGAGATCCTGCAGCTTTGCTTTGCAGGGCCGATCCCTTCTCGTGTTCCCACAGATAGCAGAAGAGGTGTAGCCTTCATTTCTACAAGATTTCCTATTGTGTTATGAAGGCCGCCTCAGGCAGCAGCATTCAACATGCATGCACTTAGACCCAGATACACCTGCCAATTAGAAAAGTCTTTATAAGTTTTACATATTTAGGGGCTAGAGAGATGGCTCAGAGGTTGAGAGCACTGACTGTTCTTCCAGAGGTCCTGAATTCAATTCCCAGCAACCACATGGTGACTCACAACCATCTATATTGAGATCTGATGCCCTCTGCTGGTGTTCAGGCAGACTTGCAGACAGAGAACATTATAGATAATTAATAAATCTTTAAAAAAAGGTTTTACATGTTTGCTATTTGAAATATCACTATAGAAGCAATGTTTTCCAGTTTGTTCCATGAAGCAGAGTCACTTAACTGGCCTCAAATCCTCAATCCTCTTGCCTGTCTCAGTTTTATAAATACAGGCAACCATAAATTCAGATCAACTAAACATTAACTTTTTTAGTATTTTAAAAGTTATTTTTTTAGAGATAGAATCGCTCTGTGTAGACCAGATTGACCTTGAACTACCAGAGATTCCCCTGCCTCTGGCTCCAGAGTGCTGAGATTAAAGGTGCACACCACCATTCCTTGAAAAATTACCGATGTGTATATGTATGTGCTTTAGTGCATGTATGTGCACGTACATGCCTGTGGACATTAGTGAGCCATCATGTTACTGGGAACTGACCCCTGGTCCTCTGCAAGAGACGTAAGCACTCTTAACTGCTGAGCCGTCTGGTTTTCTTGAGATGGAGTCTCACTGTGTAGCTCTGGTTGGATTGGAGCTAGTTCTGTAGACAAGGTGGCCTTGAGTGCAGTTTCATCTACCTCTGCCTCCAGGTGCTGGGATTAAAGGCGGTGTTGCCATGTTCCTCTTCCCTTTCAGTGTGTTCGAGACCACTCGTCCTCACTCACCTCCCTTTAGACCAGTGCACGCTCATGCCAGTCTCTAACTGAATGGGTGTTTTTGTTTGTTTGTTTGTTTGGGGGGGGTTGGTTTTTTTGAGACAGGGTTTCTCTGTGTAGCTTTGGAACCTGTCCTGGAACTAGCTCTGTCGACCAGGCTGGCCTCGAACTCACAGAGATCCGCCTGCCTCTGCCTCCCGAGTGCTGGGATTAAAGACGTGAGTCACCACCGCCCGGCTGTGATTGAATTTTTAACTATAAGGATATTATCTTGGTCATAGTGTCAGTTTGAATACCTCTATATATTCTAAAATGTTTACCCATAACCCTTTTTGCTTTACTATTTTAGGCTCTTATTCTAAGCATGGCTGTGCCCACTATTATAGGACTTAGTTTATGGAAAGAGGTAAGAAAACTGAATTTGTACTTTATGAAAATGTACTCATCTATAAAGTAATAAATGTATGTATGTGTGTAGGAAGCTTCTATCAAGACAAGGTACTAACAAATCTGATTTTATTTATTTATTTTCTAGACAGGGTTTCTCCTTGTGATAGTCCTGACTATCCTGGAACTTGCAGTGTAGACCAAGCTGACCTTGAACTCAAAGGGATTTACCCACTCTACCTACCCTCCCAACCCCCATCCCCCAAGCTAAAAGTGTGGTTTTGGTTGTTTTTTTTTTCTTCCCCCCCCTCAGTCATTGTACCTATAATTTCTTACGGCATTGACCTGAACTTTTAGAATAAAATGTTAAGGTCTCATAAGGCACATGAATGTGGCTTTGCCATTCAGGTAGCCGGGAGTGAGAAGAAGAGAAAGTTATCTTCAAAATATCTCCTTCCTTCCTTCCTTCCTTCCTTCCTTCCTTCCTTCCTTCCTTCCTTCCTTCCTTCCTTCCTTCCTTCCTTCCTTCCTTCCTATTGATTTTATTGAGCTCTACATTTTTCTCTGCTTCCCTCCCTGCCTCTCCCCTCCCTTCAGGTCTCTCCCATGGGCCCAAGAAAATCTTGTCTTTTTCTACTTCCCATGTAGATTAATTCCATGTATGTCTCTCTTAGAGTCCTCATTGTTGTCTAGGTTCTTTGAGATTGTGAATTGTAGGCCAGTTTTCTTTGATTTATGTTTAAAAACCACTTATGAGTGAGTACATGTGATAATTGTCTTTCTGGGTCTGGGTTACCTCACTCAATATGATGTTTTCTAGCTCTATCTATTTGCCTGCAAAATTCATGATGTCATTATTTTTCTCTGCTGTGTAGTACTCCATTGTGTAAATGTACCACATTTTCCTTATCCATTCTTCGGTCGAAAGGCATTTAGGTTGTTTCCAGGTTCTGGCTGTGACAAACAATGCTGCTATGAACATAGTTGAGCACATGTCCTTTTGGCACGATTGAGCATCCTTTGGATATATACCCAAAAGTGGTATTGCTGGGCTTTCAGGGAGGTTGCTTCCTAATGATCTTGGCCATTGTTACAGGTGTAAGATGGAATCTCAGAGTTGTTTTGATTTGCATTTCTCTGATGGCTAAGTATGTTGAACATTTCCTTAAGTGTTTTTCAGCCATTTTAGATTTCTCTGTTTCGGTCTGTACTCCATTGTTTGTTTGTTTGTTTGTTCTTTTGATGACCAATTTCTTGAGTTCTTTGTATATTTTGAAGGTCAGTCCTCTGTCTGCTGTAGGGTTGGTAAAGATCTTTTCCCATTCTGTAGGCTGCCATTTTGTCTTGTTGACCATGTCCTTGGCTTTACAGAAGCTTTTCAGTTTCAGGAGGTCCCATTTATTGTTTCTCTCGGTGTCTGTGCTATTGGGGTTATATTTAGGAAGTGGTCAAGCTGATATTGTTAATGCTGCTACTATTGCCTTTTTTTTTCTTTTCCCACATTAGGAACCTAACAAAAGAGCCCAAACAAATTTTCTCTTTCCCTTCCTTCCTTCTTTTCTCTCCTTCTTTCTTTCTTCCTTTCTCTCCCTCCCTTCCTCCCCCCCCCCCCCCCCCAGCAGTTCTTCACTGTTTAGCCAAGGCTGATTTAGACTTTATTATGTAGATTAGGTTGGCCTCCAACTCTTCAGAGATCTGCTTGCCTCTGTCTCCCAGGTGCAAGCAATTAAAGACAATGCACCACCAACCTCTGCTCCCAAAACAAAACAAGTAAACAAACAAAAAAAAGTTTTGCTTTCATTTGCTTGTCTTTTTTTCCCTTTTTTAAAATATTTATTATGTATACAATAATCTGTCTGTATGTATGCCTGCAGGCTAGAAGAGGGCACCAGACCTCATTATAGATGGCTGTAAGCCACCATGTGGTTGCTGGGAATTGAACTCAGGACCTTTGGAAGAGCAAGCAATGCTCTTAACCTCTGAGCCATCTCTCCAGCCTCTCATTTGCCTGTCTTTTGAGACAAGGTCTTACCACGTGGTCCAGGCTGGCCTTGAATTTGTGGTCACCCTCCCGACTTGGCTTCTCAGGTGCTGGGGCTGCACACTTACAGTCTCATCAGCCTGAGCCTTTCTTCCATGCCGTTGTACATGCTCACCATTGACAAAAGTGTCCAGGAATAAGTAGGTCTTAATATTTAAACAGATTTTGGTAAGTTCAATTTTAATATCTGAAATGAAAAAGGGTTTGACTTAAGAGAATGTAATGTAACAGGAAGTTAATTGCCAATAAACCTGAGAAGTATTTGTCTTGGAATTTTAATTCTTTAGTATGTCTATGCATGAAAGCTGTAACTGATGATTGCAGGGCACTGAAAGTCTAAGCACAGAGGAAATACAGAATTATTTAGGATGAAATAAGTCAGTGGAAACGGCAGAGACCAGGCAGTTTTGCTAGGTCAGCAGTATTTGGAGTTAGTCTTTTGAAATACTTTGAAACAGTTTTAAACTTTCCAGTTACTTACACCTCTGGGTATTTTGTTTTGTGTTTTAGTTTTTTCCGAGATTAATTACAGAGTTAACAGAACTACAGGAATTCTATGATCCAGATACAGTGGAGCTCATGACCTGGATAAAGTAAGGACCACATTCCCAAGACTGTTGCTAACTGTCGTTAACCAGTTTTTGTGTGCCACCTCATGAGATAAGGGGCAGTATTCAATGAATTGTTCTCCACATTCACTTGTAAACTTAGGAGCCATCACTCTGTACTTTATGTTGGCACGGCACTGGTAAGTATGAAAGTGGAGGTTTGCAGCCCTCCTTTGTACACAGCGGAAATGTGGGCCGGCCTCCAGGGACAGACATCCTTTACTTACTCGTCAGCCGAAGGTGGATGACTCTGGAACTCAGGAAAGTCTGTATTGTCGGGGAAAGCATTGAATAACAGCATATCCAGAATAGCCGTGCTTCCTCTGCTTGTGAGCTCTCGGTTAGAAACAACCATAACAATAGAAAGTCAGGTTCATCTCTGAGTTTGTAGTAATGGATCTGAACTCACAAGTAGTGGCACAGTGGGAAGATTCTCCCGGCCTCGGCCAGCTCAGGTGGGACTGGATGGTCTCAGGTGGCCTCCTCTGTGTTTGCTGGTTGTCAGCTGAGATCAGATTGACTGGGCCTGTGGTCTAGTGGTCTGTGCACCTGTTTATGAGGTCGTAGCTGGAGAATTCCCAAGAGAAAGAGTGGCCATGGTTCAGTGGAAGCTTGCTGTCTCTAATAGTGTGCTGCGATAAAACACCATCACTGAAGGAAGTCAGGCATGAATGTGCAGGCAGGAGCTGACGCAGAGGCCATGGAGGAGTGCTACAGACTCGCCTGCTCTTCATGGCTTATTCTGCCTGCTTTTGGGGGAGAGGGCCGTGGTTAAGACAGGGCTTCTCTATGTAACAGCCCTGGCTGTCCTAGAACTAGCTCTTGTAGACCAGGCTGGTCTTGAATTCAGAGATCCACCTGCCTCTGCCTTCCAAGTGCTGGGATTAAAGGCGTGCGCCATCACTGCCCAGCTACCAGGCCTGCTTTCTTACAGCATTCAGGACTGCCTTCTCAGGGGTGAACTGGGTCCACACACATCAATTATGAATCAAGAAAATCTACCGCAGACTTGCCAATCGTATGGAGACATTTTCAATGAGTCCCTCCCCCTAAATATGTCTCTAGCATGTGTCAAGTTGACATGAAACTGGCCACTATTGTCCTGGATCACTATGATCCAGGAAACCTCATGGCTAGGATTCCCTCCATGTCCATGGCTAAGGGAGAGAATTACTGCAGCCATTTTTATGATCAGTCTGCTCCTAGATAGACTTCCAGATAACTATGTTGGAAGTTGTTAAAGATCAAGTGAAGGAACAAAACACAAAAGAAGTGGCGAAACACTTTTAAAAGTCCTACAAGAGGCTGGTGGTTGTGGTGGCGCTCGTCTTTAAGCCCAGCACTTGGTAGACAGGCAGGTGGGTCTCTGTGAGTTCGAGGCCAGCCTAGTCTTCAGAACGAGTTCCAGGACAGGCTCCAAAGCTACAGAGAAACCCTGTCTCACCCCTCACACCCGGCCGCAAAAAAAAAAAAAAAAAAAAAAAAAAAAAAGGCCTGGAAGAGCCAAACCTGGAATCTATAGAATGACAAGTTTGTTTATGGAATGAGTGAATAAAAGTGAGACTAGCTCTTTTAATGCAGTCTTACTTATAAAGGCATTCTTTATATAAAAATGTTTTTAGGTCACCTTAACCATTGCTACTTATACTTAATCCCAGCACTCGGAAGGCAGAGGCAGGCGGATCTCTGTGATTTCAAGACCAGCCTGATCCACAGAGCTAGTTCCAGGATAGCTAGGGCTACACAGAGAAACCCTGTTGGGGTGTGTTTGTGTGTTGGGGGTGGGGGGGGTGGACATGGCAAAGACTTGAACAGTTGGATGTTGTATAATTGGGTAGTTGTCTGTTCGTAATTATTTTGGCTTAAGTCTGTTTCCCTACTCCTGAGTCTTCCATTGGCTTAGCTCTGTGCACAGTCCATAGTAGCCAGGTACTGAATAGCACATACTCGGAGTGAATAGATAATTAAGGCCGGCTGGGGTACAGCTCAGGTAGATTGCATTTGTGCTTGTGTCTTAGGTAGGGTCTGTTGTGAAGAGACTCCATGGCCATGGCAACTCTTATAAGAAAGACATTTAACTTACAGTTTTAGAGATTCAGTCCATTGTCATCATGGCGGGGAGCATGGTGGTGTGTAGGCAGACATGCTGCTAGCTAGGTCTTGATCAGAAAGCAACAGGAAGTGGTGCGTCCCACTGGACCTTATCTTGAGCATACATGAGACCACAAAACCTGCCCCCCTGGTGACACACTTCCTCAAGGCCATACCTTTCTCCAACAAAGCCACACCTAATAGTGCCTCCCTATGAGCTTATGTGAGCCAGTTGCACTAAAAGTGCCACAGCATGTGTGTGTCATGGTATGTGTGTAAAAGTCAGAGGACAAGTTATTGCCACTGTATGGGTCCTGGGGTCAAGCTCATGGCTTCAAGTTTGGCAGCAGCATCTTTACGTGCTGAGCCCTTTCTCCAGGCTGATAAATACTCTCTGATCCTACGCAGAGGTGTGAAGTTTCATCCTAGCACTGTGAAAATAAATGGGAGGAAGGAGGGAGGAAGTTATTTGTTGTTCCCCACCCTGTAAGTGGACTCTGTGGTCCACACTGCTGTCAGCAGGAGCAGCAGGACAGTGGATGGATATGTAAGGATTTGAGTCCTGTGGATTAATGTTTGCAGAACAGGGATGTGAGTGTATTCTTGTATCTTACCTCCAGTCCTTTGGTTTTAAGAATTTCCTTATCTTCAGTACTGAAAACAGCTGCTGGCATAAAGTAGATGTTCAATCTAGCCTGCTCTTTAGTAGTGATAGTGAAGTGAGCCGCACTGGCGGTGAGGACTGTGTGCTGTATATCGCAAGGAGCTGGTATGTGAGCGTCGGTATAAATCAGTGATCCTAAAGCATATGGTAGCATATTGCACTTTATCATGTACTCTCTGGTTCTTCATAGGAGGCAAGCTCCAGTTGCAGCCGTGTTTGCAGGAAGCCCGCAGTTAATGGGTGTGATCAAGCTATGTACCGGCTGGATGGTGACAAGCTTGCCACTTTACAGCGATGACGATCTTCTCAAGAGAAACGAAAACGTAAGCCACTTCAGGTTCTACGTTTGGATGTGTTATTGTAACACTATATTTTAATCTTGTTCTGTACTGCTACGTGCTTCTTGATAGCTAGGGAAATCCGGTTTGAGAAGATGTAGTTCACTTTAGTTTCTAGAAGTTGTTGGCAGGTTGAAACAGGAGAGCCACTGTGAATCTGATGCCAGTCTGTGCTCCATAGTGAGTTCCAAACTAGCCCAGACCATAGTAGGAGACAGAAAACAGGTGAAAGTTGTTGCTTAATTCACACAAGAGAGAGCCCAGGATTAAAGTGCTAAGCTCTCTGTTTTGTGAGGGGTTGCTACACTCTGTAGTTTCTGTAATTCTGTCAGTGGAATGGCTGGATAATATTACAAAATGGGGCATCAACCTTCAAAAGTATCATGGTTCTCACATTGTTGAAGAAAACTGTTATTTCCTATCTCAATAGGTGCTGATAACATAGGAATATAATCTGGGCGTTTGTGGAGCACAGCGAGTAATTTGCTCGCCATCAAGTGTGAGCACCTGAGTTTGCAGCCAGAGCAGCCGTGTTAAGGACCAAGTGTGGCAGCCTGTGCCTCTGTCCCAGTGCTGGGAGTTAGGGACAAGATCCTTGAGGCGTGATGACCAGCCACTTTAGCCCAGTCAGGGACGTCCAGATTGAATGAGAGCCTGTCTCAAAATAAGGTGGAGTGCTGGGGAGGGGGGGGTTGAGGGTGGGTGGTGGTGGTGCACAGCTTTAATCCCAGCAGGAGGCAGAGGTGTAGGGATCTCTGTGAGTTCAAGGCCAGCTGGGTCTGCAGAGCAAAGCTCCAGGACAGCTAGGGCCTTTACACAGAGAACTCTCAAACAAAAAAAAAAAAAAAAAACAAAAAAAGAAACCCCCCAAAAATAGATGGCAAAAGATTGAGTAAATCAATTGGTGTATGCTCCTGCCCCGCCCATCATGAACACATATGTACTGTTTTGATTTATCCAGACATGTTAGCATCCTTATAATGCAAGATATTTGGAAGATGGAGGCAATTTCAAGATCAAACTAGGAAAGAAGCAATTGCTTTCGGAAAAAGAAAATGTAACTCAATGGTGCTGTTTGCCAGGCATCCCTAAGTCTTTGGGTTCAATCCTCAGTACTGCAAAAGTCAGTCAGCAGCCAACTAACCTACCTGTGGGGTTCCGCCTGCTTTATTTTATCGGTGTGGGCTTTTATAAATAATTCTGTATAACATCAGAATGTGCTTTAGAGAATGTCTTTTTTTGAATCTTATGATTTAAATGATAAATTTGGGGGCTGGAGAGATGGCTTAGTGGTTAAGAGCACTGACTGCTCTTCCTGAGAACCTGGGGCTCAATTCCCAGCACCCACATAGCAGCTCACACTGTCTATAACTCCAGTTCCAGGGGACTCAGTGTCCTCTTTTGGTCTTCATAGGCATCGGGTACACTCATGGTGCACAGACATACGTGCAGGCAAAGCATCCATATACAAAAAAATAAAAAATAATTTAAAAAATATTTTAAAAAATAATAGTTATGGTTCGTCCTACTGAGGAGAATTAAATTACCAAAACAGTAAAACTTCAAAAGGCCTATTTTTTGTTTTTTTGTATTTAGAAAGAGGGTCTCAAGTTGTACGTGTAGTCAGGGTTAACCTTGAATTCATGATTCTCTTGCATCCACACCTGCAAGTACTGGGATTATGAGAATGTTCCACTGTGCTCAGAATGTACTGTTAGGTTGTGATTGTCTGTGCATGCGTGTACATACATGTCCATTACAAAGAGTCCAGAGGCAGGAGGAATTAGTTTGCCTACAAAACCTAAGAATTCATTACACATTCGGTCATTGAAGACTAGTGAGATGCTTGTTTAGAAATGAAATTATGTGTGATTGTGTGCTGAGACTTCTTTGTACCAACTAGAAAGTGAGGCAGGTTCTGTGAACCTGTGGAGGAATTTTGGTTGCCCTTGAGGCAGTTGAGAAACCTGTGTTTAGAGTTGATTGTTGCCAGGTGGCTCCTTGGTCTCTAATCCTAGCTTTTGGGAAACAGAGGCAAGGATTGCAGTAAGTTCAAGGCCAGCCTGGACTATAAGTGAAACTTTGTGTCATTCAGCGAAGAAAAAAAAGTTTAGAAAATGGACAAAGGGGAAGTTAATGATAGCAACCAGAGAACAGAGGGACCCAGGCAGGGAAGACAGAGGGAGGTGAACCTACAGGTGGTCTGGTTGATGTTTGCTGTGCTTCAGAGAAAGGGTGGTGTTGGGTAGAATATGGACAGAATTCCTAAGAAACCATCAACTCTAGCTTTTTGTTTTTGAGACAGAAATCTCACTGTGTAGCCCAGGCTACCACAATGCCCAGCTTCTTTGTCTTCTTTTGATAGGACTTTTCCCTAGTATGGTGTTTCAGAATCAGTTATAAATATTTTGTTTTAAGTTTTATGGAACTCGGCTCTAAGAATAGTAATCATATTTTGTTTTTTCAGAGTTTGCCTTCCTTTATGGTGTCTAGTCAGTAGTAGTTACTGGATGATTTTATCTAATCACAATAGTGCAGATGAGACAGGGTTTCTAGCAAGACAGCATCTCTAGCCTATAATGCAAGGCTCATCTTTGTATGATTTCTTACACATTGTCAGCTCAGGAAGACTGCCTGGAGAGGACTATCTAGAGACGTATTTGGTTGCATCACTAGGGATAGAATTCTGTGAGAAAGGAGCAGGTGCAGACCAGAGGTGCTGGTAAGCGCCTTCACTGGGTAGGATAGCCCCTGTCCTGTCCCCAGAATGAGGTGTTTGGTTCAAAGTCTTTATCATATGAAAGGTGGAAACTCTCCTAGTCTCTTAGTAATGTTGCCGTTTCGCAGTTTTATTTAAAAGATTCTTGTTTAATTTTTACTTGTGTCTGGGTTCATTTGGAGACAGAAGGGTGCATCAGATTTAAATTTTGAAAGGAAGCTTTTTTTTTTTTTTTTTTTTTTTTGGAAACAGGGTTTCTCTGTAGCTTTGTAGACCAAGCTGACCTTGAACTTTCTGAGATCTGCCTGCATCTGCCTCTCAAGTGCTGGTATTAATGGTGTGCACCACTACCACTCAGCTAGGCAAAATACTTGTATAGGCATTTTTTTTTTCAAAAAAGGAAAAGGTGGCTAATTTGCATATGAAGAGGTGCATAACTTCATTAACCATCAGGAAAATGAAAGTCAAATCCACAACTAGATCCCATCACTGAGGGTTATGGGGAGTAGGGCAGCCTGGTCTACATAGCAAGGTCAAGGACTGCCAGGGGTGTGTGGAGACTCTGCCACAAAAAACAAACAAAAAGGACAAACAAGTATTACTTAGGATTTAGATAGCTGGAACCAAACCCTAGACACAGTTTGTGGGAAACTAGTCAGAGTCTTTTCAAAGTCCTGGAGGAAAGGAAGATGTGTGCCCTGTACAAACTCCTGTGTGAACACTCATGTGCATTATTCCTAATGCCCCCCAAGTACACGCAACCAAACCGCTTACTAACTGATGATAAACAAAATGTCTTATCCTTGTGTTAATAGAATAAATATTTGACTCTGAAAGATTATATATTATATATCTTAAATATGGACGAGTTAGGCAAACTTTGTGCCAAGTGGAGGAAGTCGATCACAAAGGATCCCATGTTATAGACCCTTGGGTGTCAGGTGTCTAGAATCTATACTTTTGTAGAAACAGAGTAAATTATTGGTTAAAGAGGGCTAGGGCAGGTGGGTTGGGGGTGATCAATAGGATCCACACCTTCTTTGGGATGATGCAGATGATCTAAAGCTGTGTCCGTAGGTGTGTGACTTTGTAAATATACTAAAAACCACTAGTTAGTGAATTATATGTGATTGAATTGTTTCTTATAATTGTGTGTATACTGGGTGGGGGCATGTGCATGTGAGCACCGCCATCTGAGGGGTCCTAAAGAGGACATCATACGCCCTGCAGAGGGAGTTACAGCCATTGTGAACTACCTGACTAGATGCTGGCCATCTGCAGGAGCAGGTCATGCGCTTAGCTGCTGAACCAGCTCTCCATCCCTGTGTCTTATTAAAGCTGTGCATCTTTAATTAACAGGTGCTTTCAGTGTCTTTTAAATTTTGCCTTAATTATTTCCTTTCAGATTTACCAGATCTATTCAAAGCGATCTGCTGAGGACATTTATAAGATACTAACATCTTACAAAGCTAACTACCTAATTGTAGAAGACGCCATCTGCAATGAGATGGGAACCATGAGGGGCTGCAGGGTTAAAGATTTATTAGATGTTGCAAATGGACATGTAAGTAACCATTTGAAAAGCTGATTGTTTCTTTGAAAAATGACTTGACTTGGCCTTATAATCTTCCTACATGAATTTTCGCTGCTGCAGCAAGTGACCCTCACACTGCTGCTACCTAGTAACCAAGGAGGCCGCAGGGGAGTCTGCAAGTCCAATAACCAGTACCGACGGGAGTAGATGCTTTTACTCCTGCAGGACTTGAGGAAAAGATGAATAGATCACTCTGAATTGTAGGGCAAATTCTGTCTAGACTGTAGCCAGGATTTCTTTCTTTCCCCTTCTGAAATGATCATGTTCATCTTAATAAGCCAAGACGAGTTTGTAGGTGAAGAACTTATTCTCACATTGCTGTCTTTCAGCATTGGAGAGGTGGCTCAGCATTTCGAGCCCCTCTTGCCCTCATCAGAGGACCCAGGTTCAGGTCTTGGGCCTCACATAGCCGCTCACAACCTCCTGTAACTCAGTCTGAGGTGTCTGATGCCCTCTTCTGTCCTCTGAGCACACTGCATGTGTGCAGGGCACACATGGGGCTCGTGTGTGGGGGGCACATGCCCTTCATGCATCCAGTCAGTGTCCTCAGACAAAGTACACACATGGAATAAAAATAAATCTTAACGTATTTCCCATTTTCATGTCTTCATGACCCAGTAAGCTTGCATTGTAAACTTATGTGTGTATTTTGAATATTCTCAGGGATGCTTGATAAGGTGATTTTGGTTTATTGGTGATAGATTTTTTTTTCAAATTTTATTTTACATCCCGACTGCAGTTCCACACCCCCCTCCCCAATCCACTCCTCTGTTTCTGTTCAGAAAGGGGCAGGCTTCCCATAGGTATCAATAAAGAATGGCATATCAAGTTGCCTTTATGTTATTTTGGGGCCCACTTCTTTATTATTTCTTTCATGTGTTGCCAGATGTGGGCTTGAGCTACTTTTCTATTGGCATTGGTTGTCTGGTGTCTGGAATAGGTGTACAATATTATAGACACGAGCAAGCATGGGTTAAGGTTTGTGTTTCCAAGCCTGACAACCTGAGTTCATCCCTAGCACTTCTAAAAGTTGTGTTCCCCCCCCCCCCTCTCTCTCTCTCACACACACACACACACACACACCACCCACACGGATGTAATGGAAAACCCACAGAACTTAGGTTTAGTTGTGCTGTGGTGGTGAGCACTGTAGATGGGAATGTAAAAGCCAAACACTAGGCCATGTCACGTGTGTGCTTGCTTACTGGGCGAATGCATAGGCGGGAGATGGTTGTTGGTTTTCATCCTTAGAAGCCGTGTGAGTGAGTTCTTCAGAGCGCTGGTGACAGGTGGTAGAAACAATGTCAGCTGAATTTTAGTATTAAATCCTTTACAAACTGCAAATATTTTATGCTTATTTCTCAATCAGAGTTCAGGAATTCAGTGGTCATGAGGACATAGGAAAAGACTTAAATTTGCTAAACAGCATGAGGTATTTTATAATCATGTTTAGCAGGTAATTTTCATATATATACTAGTACAAGGATTATATTCCTCATAAATTTAGTAAGTTTTTTATATTGTTTATTATTTTTTGATAGGTGCTTTGTGAAGAAGACAACAAATTAAGCTTTTCAAAGTACGGACGGTTTTGTCACGAGGTCAAGATTAACTATTCTCCGTATGTGAACTACTTTACTCGTGTGTACTGGAACAGGTCCTACTTCGTGTATAAAGTCAACACTGTGATCTCCTTCCAGTCTTGAGAATAGCAGAGCCTTCGCTTCAGAGACTGCTACTTGAAGTCACATGCAGGGTTCTGGACCTGCACGGTGTCCTGCAGGAGGTGTGGCTGTCTGAACTGCTGCTGCTCCTCCCACGCCTGCTGCTGATTCCTGGGTTTACCATTTTGTTGGAAGTAGATGAGATGTCACTGTCTTAGTAAAATGTCAGATCCAGCACAGCAATCTTCCTGACAGCTTTCTTCCTTAGTACATGATTTAAAGATTTCCTGTCGCATCATCTCCTCATGAGTCTTATCTATCATAATATTGATCTTTAATTTGGAAAAATTTCAAGGTCAGTGTTTACTTCAAAAGCATAATTTTTAATAAGAGTGTGATTTATAGTAGAAGAGGAAATTCACAAAGCAAGTTTGTAACAGTTGTGAATTTTTTACAATTAAAAATAATTTAAATGTTAGTTAAAAATATGTGACATTTAAATTAGAAGGGAAATAACATAAAGGAAAGTGATTCTTTTCATGATACTGTTCCTGTCATCTGCTGCTCGAGTGACCTAGCATATTCTTAGCAACACATAGGATGAATTAGTACTTTGATTATTTCATGACTATTAAGTGATTGCCTTTCTCACTTATGCCCATTAAATGCCTAACAATTTAATCATGCTAAAACAACAACTTTTGTTTGTTTATATATTTATGTGTGTGTATGGACACATATGTACACACATATACATACATATGTATGGACATTTCAAAGAATTTTAGGATCTTGTGGATGTGGAGTATACAATCTAATCACGTTTTCTATGGACGTATTAAATAAAAATAATGAAGACTGTCACAATAATGATATGCACACTGCCATGGGCACCGTTTTCTGGAGGTGTTGCAGACACTTTTAAACACACCTGCATATAGGTGTATTGGTTATAAAGTATAGCCAATGAAGTGATGTTATTTATGAAACATTATATGTTTAACAGTAAGAACAAAGTGAGGGTTAAATAAAGTTTTCACCATTTCACAGTATAAATGCCATATTCCTTTGTGTATTTGCACTTTTTTATCATTAAAAGAAATTCTAAGCCAGGGCAGTGACTCGCATCATTAATCCCAGCATTTGCGAAACAGAGGCAGGCAGGTCTCTCTGAGTTCCACGGCAGCCAGAGATACAGAGTGGAACCCTGTTTCAGGGAGGAAAAAGAAAAGAAAGAAATTGTAAATTAATTTGGCCTTTTAAAGAGATTGAGGATGGGTGAAGCCCGTAGAGAAACGGTTTGACTGAAATGAGTATTTAGACAGTTGTTGAGTTCTCTACCTTATTGTTCGCGTGCTGTAAAGTTACGTTTTCAGAACTCTAAATAATCTCTTTTCTTTCTGTAACAGATACGTACAGAATTACTTTTCTCTTTCAGGTGTGTGCACTTAGAGTCACTTTAAGATGCTTTACCGTTGTGGAGCCTAACTGATGTTTTCATACCTCTGTCTAGCGTCTCAGGCTGACTCTGAGCACCTTGGGAGTCAGTAGCGGTTAGCATCAGGCTTTGTGAAAAATGACCAGTGCTCAAGTTCACAGTGAGTAGCCATTTGGTCATACTTAGGATCAAATCATGCAGAAGCAGGGCACTGGTGGCACACGCCTTTAACCAGCACTCGGGAGGCAGAGGCAGGCCCTCTGTGTGTATGAAGCCACCCTGGTCTACAATAGCTAGTTCTAGGACAGGCTCCAAAGCTACAGCAAAACCCTGCCTTGAAAAACCAACCAACCAACCAACCAACCAACCAACCAACCAACCAACCAACAACAACAAAGCAAAACAAAACCACGCAGAAGCAGCTTACATACTGTAAAGTACAAACCCTGTTTCCCCTGTGATATGAAATATTCAATTGAATTTTTACTGACATGGTAACATGTGTGGTGTTTTAGTTTCTATTTTTTTCCCTGAAATAATAATTTGCTTTGCTCCTGTCAATATATTTCTTAAATAGACACAGAATTTCTTAATTAAAAGTTTATAGTTAGTCCCAGGCATGGTGGTATACTCCTTATCCCCAGCTCTCAGGAGGCAGAGGCAGGTGGATCTCTGGATTCCAGGCCAGCCTGGTCTACAGAGTGAGTTCCTGGACAGCCAGAGCTCTAGAGTGAGACTCTCTCAAAAAACAAACAAACAAACAAAAAGTTAAAGACTTTATAATTAAATTTTCACTCCTAATCAACTAACTGAAACAGAGATGTAAGCTTTATTGTAGCGATTCTGTTGGCTGTGACTGTAGGGCGGTGGCAGACGCACAGCCCTGAGTTCAGTCCCTGGCTCTACTGGAAAAAAAGAGAAAAAAATGATAATGGTAGGTATCTTAACTGTCACCAACACTAGAAAATATTAAATGCTGAAAGCATTTTTACTTAGTAACGTATAGAACAAGTGAAAAAATCTGTAAGTAGTAATACCAGGGTGCCTCGCAGCCGTCAGGTTCAGCAGTGGAGCTGCATCGGAGGAGCAGAGCTTGTGGGGTTGGGGTAGGAAGGAGTTTCTCAAAGAAACCTAAAACAGTTTGCTCTTAGTATAACAAACCCATCGAAATAAGTGCCTTATCGTCTTTATTTCTAAATTCGTTTGATATTTCATATCATATTAGCCACTTTCTTTCCCATAAGAAAAGATGGGTAACTTTTTGTGCATTGGTGAAATAGAGAAAGGCTGAGGAGGAAGTCCTGCGGTAGAGCACTTCCTTGAGATTAACCCCACTGTGCACTGTCACCGTTAACTTCAGTAATGAGCAAATCTGTGTCCGGAATGTCCAGTTTCCTCACTAAGTCATCCAGCCTCTCGGGTGCCAAGTAGTCCGCAAAGAGACTGAGCTGGTAAGGGATGCGATAGGACTCTGAGTTTAATACTTGTGATGGCTCGGCATCTGCGTCCTGGTGTGGGGCATCACGCTGGCATAGTCACAGTCTGTGTATGTGTCCTGTACTTGGCACACTAACTCGGCACACGCATGCACACAGGCGCACACTTGCACACAGGCACACTCATGCACACAGGCACACACTTGCACACAGGCTTTCCTTTCCCTGGCAGCAACCCAGATTGCCAGTCGCCTCAGCGTTCTGACTCTTCCATACCAACCAGATTCAGTCAACAAAGAATGAAGAAGAAGTCGAAGTGTTAACCATTTGGGCTGAAAAATATGCCTCAAATAGATTATTAATTTCTTGTATAACACTGTTACTAAATTACTTTTTTTGTTTTTTGTTTTTCGAGACAGGGTTTCTCTGTGGTTTTGGAGCCTGTCCTGGAACTAGCTCTTGTAGACCAGGCTGGTCTCGAACTCACAGATCCGCCTGCCTCTGCCTCCCAAGTGCTGGGATTAAAGGTGTGCTAAATTCCTTTTGAGAAATCTTTGGGGCCTCTTATGTTTGAACTGGTAATACATTTTGATGCCTCTTTTTGTATAAAAGTTTTTTTTTTCAGTTGGCAGAGTTTTTAATAGTTCTATGTAAATCAATCTTTTGGTAAATTTATTTTTAATGCATGAATATTTCAAGGACATGTGCTACTAATTCTGTATATTTAGGAACCTTTTTTAAGCTAATAATTACTCTCTAATTTATATCAGTATATCCTTTCTTTGTTTATCCCTCTGTTAGCAATTCTAGTCTTGCTGTGTTTGGTGGTACACACCTGTGATCACAGCACTTGGGAGATAGAGACAGGAGGATCAAGTGTTCAAAGTCATTTCCAGCTACATAAATGAGTTTGAGGCAACCTGGGTTGCATGAGCCCCTCTGTAAAGAAAAAAAAATCCGAAAATTAAATGTAGAATCTCTATTGTTGTCATTTGCTAGTAGCATTTAGACTCAATATATATTAGAATTCTGGCTCTGGCCTGGTGGTGGTGATGCACACGTTTAATCCCAGCACTCGGGAGGCAGAAGCAGGAGCATCTCTGTGAGTTGGAGGCCAGCCTGGTCTACAGAAGGAGTTCCAGGACAGCCAAGGCTATACAAAGAAACCCTGTTTCAAAAAAAAAAAAAAAAAAATTGACTCTGCAAATTACAAGAAAAATCAAACAAGTTCTTACTTAAATTACTGAGTTTTTAATGTTTAAGGTTAATGCTTTAAATAAGATTAGATGCAATGTTATAAAGGAATATGTATGATACCTTATTTTCTGAATAATAAAGTTGCTTTTGTAATAAAACGTACATGTTGGAGCCAAATGTGTTGAATTTAGTGTAAAGGTTTCATTGCATTGTTTCTGCTTCTTGACATGTAGAATACCATGTACAAGTCTGGAGAAATAGGCTTTACTTGTGACTGTTATCTATATTTTGTGAAAGAATGGCATAACACAAACCTCTGTTTAAGCCCATACTTCCTACAGCTGTTAACAGCAAGTAGAGGTGTGGGTGGTCTCTGAGTTCGTCTACAGTGTGTGTATCTAGAGTAACTGTGTTCTTCCTGCAACTAGGTTACATTGCCACAAAAGTGTAAAATGTCAGTAAATACAAATACTTTAAAAGAGTTTCCTAGAAATAGCTTTATTCCAGATTTTGTAGCATTAATATCCTTTTATCAATAATGAAGTTCATTCGTGCTCGTTTACCCTCGTTTTGTCTTCTTAATAAAACCTCTCAGGATTTTAAGCTGTCTCTTACTCATACTTGAACTTTTCTTGTAAATTTGTTGAGATATAACTAATGCATCATACAACTCACTCCTTTAAGTGTACAGTTGCTGTGAGAGCGCCTTCCACTCCTTCAGCCAATAGCCTTTAAGATACCAGCCCACTTGGGCGTGGTCCTGTATACTATAAATGGTGGCTGTAAAGCAAGGCCTGAACTCTCTCTTGCTTCTGCCTCTCATTTCCAGATGGTAGACTCTGTTCCTGTTCCCCATTAGTGCAGAGGACTGTGATCTATAACAGTCATCCGTAAGTCTCCCCTAAATAAATAACCCTTATTATACGTAATTCTGAACTAGTGTGGGATTAACTTGTAACTTCCTCCATCCTCTGGCACCCACGTAGATCTGAACTACACACCTAACCGATCCACAGCCCAGAACATCTCCCACCCCAACCCACATGGCTTGTTTTTATCTACTAAGTGTTTTTTTGTTTTGTTTTTTTAATAAAATCCCATCGCAGTGGAGCTAAGTGCGTGTGGTGACTTGGAAATTTCCCAAGCTCGTGCACATACCCCCCCACACACACACACTACCGTGTTCCCTGCTGTGTGGCGACTTGTGCAGTTCCTGGTTTGTGCTCCCTGGCCGTGAGTTCTGGGCTTCTTGCTCCATGTACAGAATTGATTTAATTGCCTTTAATTTGTCAAGCAAAGTGTATTTCTCAGTATTTACCCAACACAAGACAAGAAAATCAAAGCGGCTCAGGACTGTTCATGGCACCAGGTTGTACACTAGTCATGACTCTGCAACCACAACACCTGCTAGTCAATTTAGTTTATTACACCTAAAATAATTTACCAGGCCTCATAACATAAGGAAAATACTTTATTAATTAATCAATAATCTTGAAAGTTTTATAATGACAGACAATATTACCATAGAGAATTTTAGTGACTTTTTTGCTTATACTATGGAATGTGTTCTGCAAGGCTTATATGGTTATTGTATTACATCCATTTATTGGACATTGGGACTCAGTTTTTTTCTTCATATTATATCCTTAAGAAAATGGTTTGATAACAGAGCCAAGAATGAGGCACTTGTAGAAATGATGCAGTCTTTACAGACTAATAATGAACAGCTAGCTGACAGGATTAATACCGTCAAAAATCAAAAGTTGCTGTAAAAAAATTAATACTAGCCGGGCGATGGTGGCGCATGCCTTTAATCCCAGCACTCGGGAGGCAGAGGCAGGCGGATCTCTGTGAGTTCGAGACCAGCCTGGTCTACAGAGCTAGTTCCAGGACAGGCTCCAAAGCCACAGAGAAACCCTGTCTCGAAAACCAAAAAAAAAAAAAAAAAAAAAAAAAAAAAAAAAAAAAAAAAAAACGAAAAAAGACAAATCTCAAAGCTTACCTCCAGCTACACACTTCCTCCACCAAGGCCACACCTCCCGATCCTTCCCAAACAGTTCCATTAATTGAGTTCCACAGATTCAAATATATGAGCCTATGGGGCCATTCTCATTCAAACCATCACAAGGCCCTTGAGGAACCCTCTGTGGAGCTGTCTTAGGGTTTCTATGACTGTGATAAAACAGCATGACAAAAAACAGGTGGGGAGGGAGAATTTATTTCAGTTTACAATCCACAGCCCAGTCAATCTCTGGGAAATCAGGACGGGAACTCCAACAGCACAGGAACCTATATGAAGGAGCTGATGCAGAGGTTTTGGAGGAGCGGAGTTTGCTCTCTTGTTCCCTGTGGCTTGCTCAGCTTGTTTCCTTATACACAGATGTGAGGGTCTGTGTAGGCACCATCTCCAGTGAGCTGGCCCACCCACATTAATAACGAATCAAGAAAATGTAGTACAGATTTACCAGAGATCTTATAGGGACATTTTCTCAACTGAGGATCACAAATGACACTACTTACTTCAAGTTGACATAAAACTCATCAGGACAGTGGGCCAGTAGCACTTGTGGGCAGGATTTAAGATCTTTATTCTTGAGCTGGGCATGGTGGCCCTAATCCCAGCACCGAGGCAGCAGAGGCAGGAGGATATGTGAGTTTGAGGCCAGCCTGGTCTACATAGGAACTTCCAGTGCTTGTCAGACTCTGTCTCAGAGAGCCTGCTACTCTTGTCCAGGACTAGAATTCAGTTCCCAGGAGATCGGACACAGTCTTATACTTCCAGGGAGCACATACATGAATGAAAAACAATGTTCCATTATTTTTTTATGTATGTGGGTGTTTTGCCTGCTTGTAGGCCTGTGCCGCACAAGTGAACCTGGTGCCCGAGAGAGCAAGCAGAAGGTGTCAGATGCCCTGGAGCTGCAGATACAGACTTTCGTGAGCACTCATGTAGGTGCTTGGGAAAGGACCCTGAGTAGTGTGGAAGAGAGGCCAGTGTTCACTTCTAAGTCGTCTGTCTTCAGCTCCTGAAAACAAGGTTTCTCTGTGCAGTCTTGGCCGGCCCGGAGATCCACCTGCCTCTGCCTCTGAAGTGCTGGCTCCAAAAGTAAATCTTAAAAAAACAGGGAGTGCGGGACCAAGCTTTGTATTCTTTGATTTTGCCTGTAATTGCGATACAGGCTCTCCTGTGTAGCCAAGGCCACTCTTAAGCTCATCAGCCCACGGACACTGGGAGTATAGGCGTGCACCACTATGCCAGGCTCGAGAAGATAATTGTTAAAAGATTTCTGGAAGAAATCACATTATTTGCTAGCAAACTCACATATGTCTTCATTTTTAAAAGTGTATAGAAAAAACTTTAGAGACTTAGCTTATGCCAGGGTGGTTCTGCCTTTGACAATTGTGACTTCACAGTATGGGGGGGGGGGGGGGAGATAGCAAACAGGACCTGTGATTGACAAGTGCTATGGGGCCTCTCTAGCTACAGAGAAAACTTCTGCGATCCAGTCCTAAAAGCACACCAGCCTCCAGCAGCACAGGGCAATGGCAGGAATCCAAGGAGCCAGCGAGGCTAAACTTTTCAGAGGGGGGTTAGGGAAAAAAGGCACTCACAAGCTCTCTTGATGTTTTCCTTCTTTATCCCTTTTTCTCTCTCTAATATCCCTTCCCACCTCATGTTGTTTTACAGCTTTTATATCCCAACAGAATATTCCAGGTAATACAAGAGTCAAAACAGTTGCAATCCATTTTTCAAGTGAATGATTATAGGTAAAAACATGCTTTTCGTCTCCCTCACATGATTACAGGTGAAAAACAAATAATCCCAGGCACCAACATACATTCATACCCAGGCAACTTGTTATAGATTAACCATGTGGGCAAGCAAGGTGTTTTTGTCAGGTCTTTTACTGGCAGACTGTGTTTTGCAGTTACAAAGGAAGGGCCAATTACTTTATTACTCATCTTGAAAGGTAATCTTATAAGGAATCTTAAAGAAATCCCAAACCTAAACTTTTATATATGAAAAAGAATCAGTCAGCTCTATTTTAAATCTTTAGGGTACACATCTAATCATTAATAGTTTTTTATATCAGGAGATTGAGGACATAAATGGTATAAGGAATTAATCATCACCTTTGGTCATCAACCAAACCTAGCAAAGAGAGCACGTCAGCCAGTAATAACTGGGCTGCTTTGTTCTTGTTCCCTGACCTTAAAGAGTTCCACATTCAACTCTGTGCCTTTCTAAAACTTTAGGTTTTTCGCTGCAAAGTTATTTAACAAAAACATCTCAGTCTAACTTTGCTATTTTCAAAGCTTTCAGCTGTGATGTCTTCCGAGACCTGTGAACACATTTTCCAACATTAAGGTTAAAAGAATTTAAGCTATCTGGGCTACTGGGACTCAATTGTTAGCCATTAATTTGAGCTACAATCCATGCAGCTCCTAAGGTGAGACTCACAGACCCTGGCTGTGAAACATATCCTTGTATTTATTTTTATTTATCAAAACTCTGCATAAGCTATCATTATTATTATCAAATTAGACAGAACACCTGGGGGGTCATTTTATTGACAATCCACAGGTAAACATGCCCAATAGAATGGGATATTTCCAAGAGATAAACATACTATATCACAGGCAGAGGAGATCTCCCTAGTCCACTCACACCATGCTAGATACCAGAGAAAGAGAGCAGCAGCGAACATGCGCAGCAGAAGCAAAAGACATTCTGGGCTCTGCAGTCCGCGGGCCTTGCCTAACCAAGACTGATCCATCAGAGGGTTCCCTTTTGGTGGGCGACATTTGGAACTTCAATTGCAACTAGCTGCTCCTCGGGCATGGCCCACGGCAGTGCACCAGAAATCGGTGTGCTCTGCCTCCCGAGTTCTGGGATTAAAGGCGTGAGTCACCACCGCCCGGCTTTCTTTGTGTATTTTAAATTGCACGAACGCTTATTTCTTGAAAGCGAGAGAAAGGGGTTCCTATGACCGTTTCTCCCCAGGCCCAGGTAGCCGACTTCCCACTGCCAGGAGGGCTGCATTCTTCCCTCTTTCTCTCTCTGCAACCCGAAAACGTCAACAAGGATGTGCCTGTCCAGCCATTTCCTTCACCGAGCTCAACTGCCACTGTAGAAGGAAGGCTTTAAACTTTAAAGGAGGAGGGTGGGACTGGAGAGATGGCTCAGCGGTTAAGAGCATTGCCTGTTCTTCCAAAGGTCCCGAGTTCAATTCCCAGCAACCACATGGTGGCTCACAACCATCTGTAATGAGGTCTGGTGCCCTATTCTGGCCTGCAGGCATACACATAATAAATAAATAAATCTTAAAAAAAAAAAGGAGGAGGGTGGAGTTGCCATTTAAAGGCAGAATGACTCAGAAACTCGTCAGAATGACTCAGAGGCTGTGGTTCAATGTGGCAATCAGTGGTGGTGCTATTGTTTCGGGTAACAGGTCTCTCACTTCTCCGGTCAGTGAGATATTGTCTACAAGTAATACAAGACAGAAACTTAAGACATTGCCATGACTTCATAACAGTTTTAGATCTATTGCTGTTTTATAATATCTATGGCAAAGCTGGGCCTAGTTGCAAAGACCTGCCATTCCAATTATTCCCTAGAGGACGCAATATCCACCCCCAGAATATTTATACAGTGGTTTTTACATATTCTGTACGTGGTTGGATTTTATTTTCTTAAAGAAGTATAAGAACAAAACACACAAATACCCACAAAGAACCCACAAGGAACGTGATGACCTCTAATCTCAGCGTTTGGGAGGCTGAGTCAGTAAGATCGACTCAAGTTCAAGTTCAGCCTGAGTGACAAAGCTTCAAGTCATTCCGGGTTACAGAGTGAAACCCTGCATCAAACAAAGAAAAACAAACAGGAAGAGAGGCATCTAAAAGAAACTGAGTAAATCTGAATTTACTTCTGTGTTTCTCAGGGTCCCCTAATGAAAGCAATCGTCTTTAGTAATGCATATCTGGGAAATTTTCTATGGAGTGGGCGCAGGACAGAGGTAGACGTTGGGAGTTTTTCCCCCCATCTCTCTCCAGGAGCTATTTCGGCTAGATCAGCTGGCCAGTCAGCCCCCAGGATCCCAGGAACTCACTATGAGGACGAGTCTGTCCTCCAACTTGAGGGACCCTTCGGCTTCTGCTTCGCAAATGCGGGGTTTTTCAGGCTGGCCCCACCAGACTTTGCTCCTTAGTTCTGTGGGGAATAGAATGGCGGCAAATGTCAACGTAGGGCTTTACTGTGCCTACTGGAGATCTGAGGAGCATTAACTAGGTGCTGAACACCTAGAGCTCGTCCGGAGAAGTCGCAGACAAGTTGCAGCTAACTGCATGGAAAACGGGGCGAGGAGGTACGTGGGAAGGAATCTCTGAAAGGGAAAGCACCAGAGACAAAACAGCTAGATCTGGTTCCGTTTTTCTGATTACGAAGCCATAGAAATCGCTTCATTTTCTCAGTGAGGAGCCCACACGGGACCTGGAAAGCCCCTAGAGAGTCGAGATTCACCGTAAGACAACGCCGTGGCCGCGCGGGGGCGGAGCGATCTCTTGCTCCCGCCCCTTTCCTCTGAATTCCAGCAGCGATTGGTCGAGAGCGCGGCGAGTCGCGAATCCGGGGAGGGGCTTGGGCAGGCCCCGCCGCCATCTTGAGTCGTGCAAGGCGTCCGGACGTTCCGAGCGGATCTGGGGAGGGACCCAGGCCTGCGGCCGGGGTCAGATTGGAGCCGGGAGGCCCTGGGAGCGGCGGCGGCGGGGGCAGGATGAGCGCGGAGGCGGCGGACCGGGAGGCGGCCACCTCCAGCCGGCCCTGCACCCCGCCGCAGACCTGCTGGTTCGAGTTCCTGCTGGAGGAGTCGCTGTTGGAGAAGCATCTGCGCAAAGCCTGCCCGGGTGAGCGGGCCCCTGCGGGCGGCGGGCGGCGGGCGGCGGGCGGCGGGCGGCGGGCGGCGGGCGGCGGGCGGCGGGCGGGCGTGGTCCCCGTTGGCCGCGGTCCCTGGCGGCTGCGGTACCCGGACCGCGGGCGTCGCCGCCGCCGAGCGACCGAGGAGAGCTCCAGACAAGGCTCTCCTGTCTACCGTGCTCCTCACGGCCCACGCTGGGGCCCCGTCGCTGCAGTCGCACTGCTCCGGAGCCTGGCTCCTTGAGGGGAGAGCGGAGGAAGCCATCCGTCCGGCGCTGCCGAGCTCGGAGGCAGCCCCAGGCTTAGGTTTTTGTCTACTCAGCCAGCGCATTGTGCGCTTCATTGTATGACCCCGAATGAAATAAAATAAAATTCCCCGAAAGCAGGAACTGCTGTGCAGTCGTCGGGTGGCTGTTGGGTAGGGATACCAGTGCTTGCATGAATGTTTCTGGGTAAGGGCCATGCTCTTTCCTGGCATTTCAGGAAAGATACAACGTAAGCTTTAGTTTGCTCAGTTCTAATGCAAATTTGGCCTTACTTGTAGGTGACCACGTTGTGAAAAGTTGGCATCGTTAGGTAGGCAGTTTTATTATGTGTAGAGCTTTCTTATTGGCACATTGTTTAGGGCTTGCAGGGTGCCAAGCCTCTACTTAGCTTTTTATATCACTTCCCTTACTTAGTGAAGTCTTCATGTTCTGTGATGTAAGAGGCATTAGCCTCAACTTTTCATTGTGGGGAACAGCGGCAGAGACATAACTAAATAAAAGACCCCTAGTTGTCAAAACAGTAGTTCTGCAGCCCGCATTTCGTTCCTCTAATTAACCCTGTCCTAGGGTCAACTGGGAACCTCTAATTCTTCGAGAGAAATGCTTTGTTCTGAAGTAACTTTCTTGCTCTCTTCTTTCTCCCACTCCCTCCCTCTAGTATTGGGAATTGAATTTAGACCCTCTTGCATATCCGGGGGAACTGGCAACCGCTGAGCTGCCACTGTCCCTGAAGTTTTCGGCAGTGTGTCCCTGCCCCTATCCCTCCCCTGCCCTGGCCCCTCTGGTGGCATCACCCGCTACAGGGACTCCTTTTGCATGTTTATAATGAAACCTAAGAATTCATTTTCTTTCTTTTAACTCCTAGATCCTGCGCCAGTTCAGCTTATAGTTCAGTTTTTGGAGCAGGCTTCCAAACCTTCAGTCAATGAGCAAAACCAAGTCCAGCCTCCGCCTGATAACAAGAGGAACCGAATCCTAAAACTTCTTGCTCTTAAGGTTGCTGCACATTTGAAGTGGGATTTGGACATCCTGGAGAAAAGGTGGGAGTTTGAATAGCATTCCACTGGACACCGCAGGTGCTGTGCTTCTGTCTGTATGCTAGGCTAGTGTTCTCACAGTGACCCAATTATTTTCTGCATGTTCATGGCAAATATTCAAACATTTTAAAAAAGATATAAGAAAGTGTTTAAAACTAGATGTGTGTGTAGTTGCAGCATCTTGAGACTAAGGCAGTAGATTCCCGGGAGCCCCCAGTTTAGAGACCAGACTGGACAATCACACTGTCCTGCCCAAACAAAGCAGGGACTTGACAGGATCATTTGAATAGTAGATGAACCACCTTTAAAGTTTATATGCTTTCTGTCAGTAATGAGGAAGGGCTTCCTCCATCTAACTGAAAAGTGAAGTCAGGGCCTCAGGGGTCCTAGGCCAGGTTTTACTGTGAGGCTGTAGACGAAGCTAATTATTACCAGAGGTGCAGTCAGGAGAATCCAGACTGCAAGTGTTACGAATGTTGTAAAGGCATGCTGCTGGCTTGTTGAGAAAATTTATTTGAACATTTTTTTAAAGAATTTCTTTATTTTATGTTTATGAATGCTTGACCTTCATATGCACATATGTGTGTGATCATGTGAGTGCCTGGTGCCTTCATTGGTCAGAAGGTCAAAGTCCCTGAATTGGAGTTATGGATGGTTATGAATCACTGCATGAGTGCTGGGAATCCACCTAGGTCCTCTGGAAGAGTAACAATAGCTCTGACCACTGAACAGCCTCTCCAGTATGCAGAGGATCTGTGTACCCACTCCGACCCTGAACTGGCTATGTAACTGAGGAGGATCTTGCTTTTCCCTCCCAACGTGCTGGGATTATTCATAGCATATTTCCTACGTTTTTAAATAATGTTATCATACCCTGTATAATGTTTTCATCTATTTCTTCGAGTAATATAACTAGTATTAACTAGTTTGATATGGTGGTGTATAATTCATAATCCCAGCACTCAGGAAATTAAGGGAAGAAGAGCCAGTGGTTCAAGGTCAGCCTGAGCCTTTTAGTAAGAACTGGTCTCAATTCCATACTTCCTCTACAAACCACTACACAGTATCATTAACTGTTCCTCATTGACACTAATTTAGCTTGTTTCCAGTTCTCTCTCTCTTTGTATACACACACACACACACACACACACACACACGCATACATACACACGTGTGTGTTTGTGTATTTGTTTGGTTGGTTTTTTTCGGGGTAGGGTTTCTCTGTGTTGTCCTGGCTATCCTAGAACTCATTCTGTAGATCAGGCTGGCCTCTAACTCAAAGATCTTTGCCTCCCTGGGATTAAAGGCATGTGTCACCACCACAAGGCCTTTTTATTTATTTTAATTAATTTATTTTATGTATATGGGTGTTTTGACAGCATGTGTGTCTGTCTGTGCACCACATATGTGCCTGGTGTCCTTGGAAGTCAGAAAAGGGCTTCTGATCCCCTGGGACTAGAGTTACAGACTGTTGCTAACCACCATGTAGGTGCTGGGAGCTGAACCTGGGTCCTCTTTAAGAATAGCAGTGCTCTCAAAACCACGGAGCCACTCTCCAGCCACTGTTGGCAGTTTTCTACCCTAATAGTCTATCATGTCTTAAATGTTTCTGTCTAAGCATGAGTTCACTGTGCAGCCCAGGCTGCCCTCATTCCCCTCTCTGCCTTGCAGGTGAGTGTCCTCACCCAGTTCCTGAGTGCTTGTACTTCAGTCAGCATAGTCTTTCAAAACACTTTTTCTACCATATGTTCTTCAGCATTAAATACAGTTTTTAAAAAGTAAATTGATTATTTTGTGGTTGAGGCATGATCTTAAGTAGCCCAGGTTAGTTTCAAGCTCTGTATTGAAGGATGGCTTTGGCTCCTGCTGTCTTGTCTCTGCCTTCCAAGTGTGGGACTGTGTGTGTGTGTGTGTGTGGTGCGTTAATAGTCTACAGGAGACATATCTCTCCATGGTAGTGTATGCAGTGTTAAGGCACACATGGCTTATATGAAACAGTTGGAAAATTGAACACCTGCTGGGTTTTTCTGGTTCTGGGAATCAAATCCATGACCTGCTGGACAAATAAGCTGCTGTTGACTACACCCAGCAGTTAGTTGATGATAATCAAATGTAAGGTAAATGTAATGTAAATGATTGATTTCCTTTTTTTGGGGGTGTGGGGTGGTGTGGTGATGGATGGTGCTATTGTTCACACAAAGTTTCACTCTATAGACCAGGCTGTCCTCAAACTCAGACATTCTTATATGACTGCCCCCAGAATACTAGGAAATTAAATTTTTTCTCTAAAGAATTAATACTGTTATTTTGTCACGAATTCACTTTTTGCAGGTGTGGTGACGACACCTGTTAAGCCAACACCTTGGAGGCCAAGACAGGCAGCTGCCTGTTTGAGGCCAGCCTGGTTTGCATGGCTGGCCCCTATTTGAAAAAAGGAAGGGTAAACATTTTAGATGGGATCTGAAATCTTTAAATTTGGGTTGTAAGTAAGAGTGAAAATGAAAGACTGATCACTAGTTGAACAGTTAAAGGTGTGTCACTTTTGTATTGTGAGTCCACAGTAAACAGTTTTGAGTCTACCAGGTAGATCTGCAGATGCGATCCTTGAAGAGCGTAGTTATTTCCACTCTTGTAGGGTTCGTATTCTCTGTGGCTCGTGCAGCTAACGCGCAGACATGCCTCTCTGCTTCTCTTAAGCCTGTCTGTGCCGGTGCTGAACATGCTGTTGAACGAGCTGCTGTGCATCAGTAAAGTCCCCCCTGGGACCAAGCATGTGGACATGGATCTGGCAGCCCTCCCCCCGACCACGGCCATGGCCATCCTCCTCTACAACAGATGGTGAGCAGCCTCCTGCCTTGAACGCTGCCGTTCAGGGCCATGCTTTTGAGGATCTCCTTTTGTCCAGGGATCTCTCTAGGCATCTTTGGAACTGTGCACTTGGAAGTGGAGACATTTTTATATATGGCTATGTAGACGAAAAGCACGCTGCTGAAACTGGGGATGAAATCTAACATTTGTTAAGTTATTATACTTGTTATGATTGAACTGACTTTTTATTGTTTTCCTCTTTTTTTTAGGGCAATTAGAACAATTGTTCAAAGCAGCTTTCCTGTCAAACAGGCGAAACCTGGGCCTCCTCAACTAAATGTGTGAGTTGTGACACATTGTGATTTAAGGATGTTATCCAGAGGTCATAGAGCAGAGAGCGGATGGAGGTCCTGCATGGAGCTCAGGCTTGGAGGAGTGACTGAAGAATTTTTCCATATAACTAAGTTGTCTTTCATGTGTATTAGTTTTGTACCTGGGGAAATTAATATTAGTGTTAGCAGTACAAAGTTCATGACAAAAGCTTGATGGAATATGGAGACTTAAATCCTTTCATAAATTCTTGGTGACCGCTCATCTCACTAGGGAGCCGGACAGCTTAGTTACTGGATGTGAGTGGAATTGCTTCCTTACACTCAGAACAGAATAGACTTACTTATGGCCTAGGTCTGAATGCTTAGCTGCTAGCTTTGGGACTTGGGCCAAACTGCAGTTGAAGGAAGCTTCTGTCAGTGCAGATGATTTTTACTTCATGCGCTGGGATGCCAAGGAAGAAAGAATGGAGCAGGGCTAATAATTACCCCGGAGGCACACCCCAGTGTTCAGCCACCTGATACTTTTCTCACTTCCCAGAGGACATCAGTATATCCCAGAAGAGCCATCTGTGAAGCAGGACCTTTAAAAACTTACCTCTCGAGGAAACTGCCAGTATTTAAGTAACAGTAACATGCTAGGATATAAAAAATAACACAGTTCTTTGTAATGTGACACATTCTCTATTGCTATTTTTTATTTTTATTTTTGGTATTTTTGAATAGGAACTCACTATTTTCTTAGTTCTGGCTGGCTTAGAATGCAATAATTTAGACCAGGCTGGTCTTGAACTTGCAGAGATCCTCCTGCCATTGCTTTCTGGGTGCTAAAATTAAAGACTTGTGCTACCTTGCCCAGCTTCTATGCCTATTTTTTTTTTAAAGATTAAATTTCATTTTTATGTTGTTGAGAATTTTCCCTATATGTATGTAATTGCACCATGTACATGTCTGGTGCCTTAGGCCAGAAGATTCAGATCCATGGGACTTGAATTATGGTAGGTTGTGAGCCATCATGTGGGTACTCGGAACTGAACCCCAGTCTTTTGGAAGAACAGCCAGTGCTTCTAACCACTGAGGCGTCTTTCCAGCCCCCTCCGTGGCTCTTTTTTAAATAAACGAGCTTTTGTTGTCAATAAACTCTATTACTCTTTTTGTTTCCTTCCCTCCTCCTCCTTTCTCTTTCTTCTTTCTTCCTTCTCCAATAGGAGCTGGTAGAATTTTGCAGCTTGATTGGCCTTGAAACTCCTAGTCCTCCATCTACACTGCTCAAATGCTGGGCTTAGAGGTGTGTGTTATGCTTAGCTAGTTTTACTCCTAAAGGAAAGTTTAGGGGTTTTATGTAAAGCAATTGAGGAGGTCCTGATAAGTTAATGATCATCATCATAATCTGTGCTTTTATTTGTTTAAACAAACAAACAAAAAAAAACCTGTTAGCTGTTATCATTAAAAAAATATAAGCTTCATGCTGAAGAATGATAGCCTTAAATTTGGACTTCTGCAGTGTCGCCTTGAGAATTGTATCTCAGTGCTCTTGCACCTTTGTTCTTTTAGCATGAATCAGATGCAGCAGGAAAAGGAGCTGACGGAAAACATTCTGAAAGTGGTGAGTACTGGCAGTCATTGCGGTGTCGGGGTAGAGGGAGAGGGGTGTCTCTGATCTTAGCACAGGGGTGGGGTTTTCTGTAAGCAGTTAAGAAGGGGTGTGTGTGTGTGTGTGTGTGTGTGTCTGTTTTACTTTTATGAGACAGTCTTATCATGTAGCCCTGCTTGGCCTCAAATTTTCCACGTAGTCAAGATGTGTCTAATTCGTTATCATCCTACCTCTGCCTCACAAGTGTTAGGATTACAGACACTTGTTACCATTACTTGGCTTCAATTGTACAGTTTTCAACACTATCGGCACAATACTTTATCATTAGTTCTTTTGTTGTATAGTTTATGATATTTTGACAGATATTGTTCAAGACATGTTATGCTTAGCTAATATTGTTAAAGTTTTTTTTTCTTTTTTTTTGTTTTTTTTTGAGACAGGGTTTCTCTGTCCTGGAACTTGCTTTGTATATTAAGCTGGCCTCAAATTTACTGAGATCCACCTGTCTCTTCCTCCTGAATGCTGGGATTAAAATTGTGCGCCACCATCACCAGGCTAAAGACATGATTTTTATTGGACTAGGAAGTAGCTTAGTTGGTAAAGCTCCTGCTGTTTAAGCAAAGAACCTGATTCTCAGCTCTCATGTAAAAGCCAGATTTATTAGTATGCCTGTCTGTGGTCCCCACAATGGAGAAATGGAGACTGAGGGTTCCTGGTTCCACTAGGTAGTTTTTCTGTTTGGATTGGTGAGCTCCAGGTTCATTGTGTCTTATCAGAAACTAAGATGAAGAGTAATTGAGAAAGACTCTGGAGGTAGAGGGAGGAAGAGCTGGAATTGAAGGCCATCCTCAGGTATGTAGCAGGTTTGAGGCTAGCTGGGCTACGTGAGGGCTTGTCAACAAAACAAACAGGGCTGACGACATAGGTAATTTGGTAGATTGCTCATCTAGTCTGCACAGAGCTTTGGTTTGAGACCTAGTACTGCAGATGCTGGCAGCAGTATGTCTGGCACTGGGCAGGTGAAGCCATGAGGATCAAACATTCAAGCTCACCCTCAACTACATAAGAAGGCCAGCCCTGTCTCAAGAAAAAAGAAACGCTAAGAAAATAAAAAAGTTGAGTTTTTGATTATCTTATATTCTTTGTAGTTCTTAAAATTTATAGCATGACAGGGAGCGACTGAGGGGAGAGGAGCGAGGGAAACTGGCTAGGATTTAAGATAATTAATTAATTAAAAAAATTCACAGCAAATGTGGAAAACAAAAGACTGTCAGAGAATGATAGCAAATCTTGGATGTGTGCATGTGTGCTTGCTAGGCTTAATCCCAAGGCCTGTTGATGCTGGGCAGTGCTGTACCTCTGAGCTGTATGCTACATGTTACCCCATAGTGCTTTTGTAATGATTCTTACATTTTTAGTGTTTTCATTTGTTTGTGGCTGTACGTATGTCTGTCTGTGTCTGTGTGTGCACAAGTGTAGGTGTCTGTAGAGGCCAGAGGTGCCAGATTTCCTATGGAGCTGGAGTTATAGGTGGTTGTATGTCACCTAATGTAGGTTCTGGGACTCAAGCCCACTGGACGAGGAATACATGCTTAACTGCTAAGCCAGCTCTCCAGTTCCCCATATTTATTGTTTAATCTCCTCAATGTAAAAGAAATGGGAGATCATGTATAATCTCTGTAAGTATTTAATATCAAAGTGTTCTGAAGAAGATAGGGAATAAAAGTAGGAATAAAAGAAAAAAAATCATACCTATGTGAAACAAATACACAGTGGGGTTTGTAATATTTTGAATAGAGAAGCAAAAAGCCTGTGTTGTATTGTTGCTATGTAGTGCCTAGTAATACAACTTTGCATAGTAAAGTATAAATTAAAATCAAATAGTGCAGATCTTTCCTGTATTTTGTTTCTAACTTTACAACAGAACGTACTGTACTTTTAATATTTAAGATTATTACTTCAGCAAGTAGTTGTGCCTGTTGAATTATCTCCTATTTTAGTACATGAAGCTACTAAATATTCTGTAAAAAATGTTTTGGTTATTATAATCAGTTACTATTGTTACAATTTCATTTGTGTATTGAATTTTGTAGCTAAAAGAACAAGCTGCTGATTCTATTTTGGTCCTGGAAGCAGCCTTGAAATTAAACAAGGATCTGTATGTTCACACTATGAGAACTCTAGACTTACTGGCCATGGAACCAGGCATGGTGAATGGAGAAACAGAGAGTTCTACAGCTGGGTTGAAAATCAAAACTGAGGAGATGCAATGCCAGGTATTTCTTTCTTTACTTAGCCAGTATATTGGAAATTGCGTGTAAGACCTTGATATTTTTGTTAGATGTATCTTAGTGATTTTGATTTTAGTACTTTTTTTTTGTTGTTGTTTTTAAAGAAATGAGTTCATTAATAGAAAGGTTGGCTGGAACTTGCTTTCCTTTAGATCAGGACTTGCCTTGAACTTGTGACTCCTTAAGTGCTGGGATTATTGGCATGCACCACCATATATAATCTATTAGATTTTTATTGGCAGTTATATCTTAGAAGTTTTTTTTTTAAATACTAATTTATTTATTATGTATACAATATTTTGTCTGTGTATATGTCTGCAAGCCAGAAGAGGGCACCAGACCTCATTACAGATGGTTGCGAGCCACCATGTGGTTGCCGGGAATTGAACTCAGGACCTTTTGAAGAGCAGGCAATGCTCTTAACCACTGAGCCATCTCTCCAGCCCCTTTTTTTAAAATTTTCTTCCCCTCTGAGATAGGGTTTCTCTGTGTAACATTCCTGGTTGTCTTGGACCCCTCTCTGGAGACCAGGCTGGCCTTGAACTCACAGAGAGGCCAGCCTCTGCCTCCTGGGTGCTGGGATTATTTTAGAAGTTTTTTAGGTCTGTACTTGAGAATTTTCTAAAGGAAATGAAAGGAAAATTTTATGGAACCTATTATTTTCGAAGCAGTTTGTGAATTGATTTGCAGTACTTTCTTTTAGGAATGTAGTTAAATTCCCCAGAAGACAACAAAAACTAATGTTTTGCCATGCTGAAAATGAAGGCCTCCAGGTCAGATAATTGACTCTGTAAGGACCTTGTCTGTTTCTGTGACTTTGGGACCCTAGGTCCTTTGGCAGTTTTCAGTTTTAGTTAGGCATGGTGGACACACCTGTCGTTTCTAGCACCCAGGAGGCAGAAGCAGAGATTGAGGCTACCCTGGTCTATAGAGTGAGTTCCCAGACAGCCAAGGCTATCGAGAAACCCTGTCTCAAAAAACAAAACTGTTGCAGGGAGAGCCAGGACAATAGAAATTTTTTTAAAAATATTTATTTATTTATTATGTATACAATATTCTGTCTGTGTGTCTGCAGCCAGAAGAGGGCATCGGATCTCATTTCAGATGGTTGTGAGCCACCATGTGGTTGCTGGGAATTGAACTCAGGACCTTTGGAAGAGCAGGCAATGCTCTTAACCACTGAGCCTCCTGCCTCTGCCTCACAAGTGCTGGGATTAAAGGTGTGCGCCACCACCGCCCGGCCCGACAATAGAAATTTTAAAGCATTCATTGATTACCTTTTCAGGGCCAGAACCCATTAGAGTATTATTTTTGTTTTTAAGACATGATCTGTATAGCCTGGCTGGTCTGGAACTTATTGCGTAGACCAGACTGGCATCAAACTCACAGAGATCCGCCAGCCTCTGCCTTTTGAGTGCTGGGATTAAAGGTCTGCACCCCCATGTCTGTCTAGATCATAATTTTCAAGGCCACTGTATTTGTACAAACACATGGCATCTTTCCCCTAGTTCCTATTCTGAGAAGAGGTGGAAAGAAGACTGTTGTAAAGGGCATCCTTTCGGGATTGGGAATAGCTAAAGGCAATCATCTATTCAGGACACGATGAGAATTTATGAGAGGGCACTTGAATAAGAAGTCAGTGACAGTTAAACCTCGGCTCTGTCTTGGTGCTCTCTGCTTTGTAATGTCACTCTTCTGCCCACTGGAGTTCGGAGTAGCTCACTGGATTAAGTCAGACTTGAAGTCAACAGCGAGCACGGCCATCAGTCTAAGACAAGGTTCTTGGCGTCTGGTGACTGAGTTAAGTTGATGGAGTGCCTGTTTAGCAGGCACAGAGTCCTAGATGTGAAGGTGGAATGGTGACGTGTGCTTGTAATCCCAGCACACGGGTCTGTCTCCATTCAGTCTGTCAGGGGAGACACTTGTCCTCGTCCTTTTGATGGACTGGTCCCATCTCTGTGCAGCTGAACACTTTTAGGTATTGCCTTTTTAGCTTGTCTGGCAGGAATATTGTACATATTTATGATACACTTAGTGTAGACTGAGTCGGGAGCTTATAAGTCAAAGAAGTGGCCGTCGTAAGGAAGCTGGCAGGCAGAGGCTGTGACAGTAGCTGCGGTGTCGGGCAGTGTGCGGAGTGCTGGTGCCTGTGGGCCGCTAGCGTGTTGTGGCATCTGGTGTGGTGCTGCCCTCAGCAGTTCTGATTCGGCTCTTGTCCCCTTTCCTTCTCTTGTTTTTCTGACTCAATTCTTTGACCTTCCAGGTCAAATTTTTGTAAGTTATCAGGAACCCTTTAGTTTAGTTTTTGACTGAAATCAAAGTTATTGTCTATTAATATTTCTTTTGATTATGGGTTTTATTTGTCTTTTTTCTGTTTTCCTGCCATTATACATAAATTTGAGATAGGCCTGGTGGTGAGGCCTTTAATCCCACACTCAGGAGGTAGAGGCAGGTGGATCTCCGTGAGTTCCAGGACAGCCAGGGCTACACAGAGAAACCCTGTCTCAAAACAAACAAAATAAATGGATAAATAAATTTGAATTTTATCAACTTTTTTGGTTGCTTGTCTTTGAAGACAGGGTTTCTCTGTGTAGGCCCTGGCTGTCCTGGAACTTATTAAGTAGAGCAGGCTGACCTGGAGATCATAGAGACCCACCTGCCTTTGCCTCCTGAGTGCTGGGATTAAAGGTGTGTGCCACTATTGCTTGGTTTGTCAATATTTTAAGCAAATTGTTTTGTTATCATTTCAGGTGTGTTATGATTTAGGTGCGGCCTACTTCCAGCAAGGCTCTACAAATTCAGCTGTCTATGAAAATGCCAGAGAGAAATTCTTTAGAACTAAAGAACTAATTGCAGAGGTGAGTACAGCCATAAATGATACGTGGTATTTGGTCCCTTAAAAGCCTATATGGTTTTTGGCTTAACTTTTTCTAAACAAAAGCTGAGTTTGGTGCTAGAGTGTAACTTACTTGGTTTTTAAGACAGTTTGACTATGTGGCTCTGGTTGGCCTGGAACTCACAATGTAGACAAGGCTGGTCCAAGTGCTGGGATTAATAGACTGGTGATAGCAAACTCAGTGTTGGGGTATGGCTTCAGGTAGAAGTGTTTTTAGCATGCACAAGTCCTTTGGTTCAGTCCCAGTGGCAACAAACCAGTGTACCCAGTGTAGAAAATTTGGAAAGTTAAAAAGAAATAATATAAACTAACTTTTAAAAATGTGTATTATTTCCTTGTTATGTTGGTGTCTTTTCCTGTTGTTGTGATAGAATATCAAAAAGCAACTAAAAAGAACAAAGTTGATTTTGAGTTTGAGGTTCATTATGCCAGGGAGTCAAGGCAGTAGGGACGTGAAGCAGCTCTTCCTCTTGTCCAGTGTCAAGAAGTAGAGTGCGAGTGTATAGTGCAATAAAAGCAATAAAAGAAAGGTAGAACTAGCCAGGTATGGTGTGCACATCTTTCGTCCCAGCCCTCAGGAGGCAGAGCCAGCCTCATCTTTAGAACAAGCTGCTTTTTAGAATCCAGAGAATTATATTCTAATTGCCCAGTGTGTTTCTATGTCTGGGTGGGTATGTGCTCATGAGTACTGGTTCACCTGGAGGCCAGTAGATCGTGCTTGGGGCCCTGAAGCTGCAAGTGGTTGTGAGCCATCCATCATGGGTGCTGGGAACCAAAAGCAGGTCCTCAGGGTGTGCTCTTACGAACCGAGCCATCTCTCCAGCCTCAGATGGTTGAATACCTAAGTTTTTTGCTATTTTTAAGAACCTGGATTTTTTTATTTTATTTTATTTTTAAGACAGGGTTTCTCTTTGTAGCCCTGGTTCTCCTGGAACTCTATAGACCAGACTAGCTTCAAACTCAGAGACCTGCCTGCCTTTGCCTCCCAAGTGCTGGGATTAAAGGTGTGTGCCACCACCGCTTGGCTGGAAAAATCATTTTAATTTCCTTTCCTCGTTAGAAAAATTAATTAGAGCCAGGTGGTGGTGCATGCCTTTAATTCCAGAACTCGGGAGGCAGAGGCAGGCGGATCTCTCTGAGTTTGAGGCCAGCCTGGTCTACAGAGTGAGTTCCAGGACAGCCCGAGATACACAGAGAAACCTGAATCTTTCCTTTCAAAAAAAAAAAAAAAAAAAAAAAAAAGGAAAAAGAAAAATTAATCAGATACCCTCAAAGCTTCATTTAGTCTTTGTCCCTCCGTTTGTGTAGTGGCCGGGCTTGAGCCCATGGTAGGCAGATGCTCTCTGCCATGGAGCTGTATCTCTAGCCCTAGGCTTACTCTACCTAGAGCAAGTAGAAATTGCTAATTTTGTTCAATTTTAGGTATAATTACTTAAAATTTATTTAAAAATGTCTTACAAACATTTTATTTTTGATTTTCGAGACAGGGTTTCTCTAGCTTTTTGGTTCCTGTCCTGGAACTAGCTCTTGTAGACCAGGCTGGCCTCGAACTCACAGAGATCCGCCTGCCTCAGCCTCCTGAGTGCTGGGATTAAAGGCGTGCGCCACCACCACCAGGCTAGAAACATTTCTGATAGTAACATTTCTAATATTTTTTGAGAGAATATTGCTCTTTTTACTATCTTTTAAATCTGCCTGAGGTGTGGATTTCCGATATAGACTGGAAGAGTGGTCCCCACCGGTGCCTCGTTTGTCACAACCTTGAGGGATGATAAATAAACCAGAAGACTAGCTTAGGTGTTGTGGATCACATCAGTCTGTCTTGGGTGTTTGTTTTTATTTTTTCCAACACTAGAAAGTTGTTTTTAGCTCAAGGGACAAGCAAAAGCAGATCATAAATTGCACCTGGTCATTGGACATTGTTTTGCTGAAAATATTTAACCTAGTCAATATTTGTGGTTCCTTCAGTTTTGAGATTTTCATTATCATGTTCTTGTACTGTTAAGATGCGCTATGGAGTACTAGTCTGTTATGTATATTTCATTAACGGGTAATGATATATAACTCTTACTTTACAGATAGGTTCATTATCTCTTCATTGTACCATAGATGAGAAGCGCTTAGCCGGCTATTGTCAAGCGTGTGATGTTCTTGTAGCTTCCTCTGGTAATAACTCTCAGCAGTTGACTCCATATAGTCAAGTCCACATTTGTTTACGGTCGGGCAGCTATCAGGTAAGATGGGATGGGATCATAGCAGTGCAGTTCAAATCCTGCTGCCACCCCTGCCGACTTTCCCTTTTTAAGATTACCGTGAGACTTGGATGCGACGTTATAATTAGTCATACATGTGTTCACTGCTACCGACAGAAAAGCTTGCCTGTTTTAATCACTCCTAGGAAACTGTGAGAACTGTCAAAACCAGAAGGCCACGCTTTGAAATGAAGGGAGTGAGGGAGCTTTGTTCTTAGGAATCCGAGGTCTTAGCTGTGTCTCAGCACAGCTCATCTGCTCCCTCAGCCCTGGACAGGAAGAAGAGCGCAGTGGTTTGGTCAGGTGGATGTTCTCTAATGAGCTCCCTGTCAGCAGCCTGTTACTGTCTGAGATTATAGTTAGTGTCCTTCGATGTCTTCTTTGTTTTGAGTCAGAGTCTCTTTGTTTTGCTACCCTGGCTGTCCTGGAACTTAATATGTAGACCAGGCTGGTCTCGAACTCACAGAGCCTGTGTCTGTTGGGATTAAAGGCATATGCCACCGCATCTGTCTATCCTGTGCTTTTTAATGAAAGTCACTAACAGTGAGTTTGTGGTGGTGAAGTCATTCTAAGAATGTTATCATCCCAGCCATGCCTTTATGAAACAGCAAAATGAGACAGTCAAGCTTAACTGTCATCAGGTTTTTTTTTTTTTTTAATAATATTTTTGAGACAGAGTTTCTCTGTGTAACAGCTCTGGTTTATAGAACTCACTATGTAGATCAAGCTGACCTTTAACTCCTAGGGGTCAAAGGTGTGCGTTAGCACTGCCTGGCTCCCAATTGAGTTTTTATTCCAGATTTATAATTCACTACCTTCATCTAAAATGTCATTTTTTCATCCATCCAGAAATATATGGAGAGGAAGATTGTAACTTGTATATTTTCTCCTTTTTCTCTTGGCCTTTTTTTTTTTTAAAAATACTTTGTGTAGGGAGAAAATTAAATGTTTTTGAAGGTGAATAATAGGTGAATTAAAGTGGAGATACCATTCAGCTACATCTCAGCAGTACAGGCTTATAGGCCTGTATAGGTCAGGATCCGTTAAAGCGGTAGTTCTTAACCTGTGGGTCTCCACTCATTTGGGGATTGACCCTCTTTCACAGGGGTCACATCAGAGATCCTGAATAACAGATGTCTACATTACAATCCATAACAGTAGCAAAATTAAGTTTATGAAGTAGCGATGAAAATAATTTTGTGTTTGGGGGTTGTAACACTGTGAGGAACTGTTTTAAAGGGTCACAGCATTAGGAAGGTTGAGAACCACTGCTCTAGAGTAAAATATGGATTATAAGAAGACCCTTAATTATTTTTTTTTATTAATAAAAAGAAACCGGACACGCCTTTAATCCCAGCACTAGAGAGGCAGAGGCAGGAGGATCTCTGTGAGTCCGAGACCAGCCCTAGTCTACAAGAGCTAGTTCCAGGACAGGCTCCAAGGCTACAGAGAAACCCTGTCTCGAGGGGAGGGGGGGGAATCAGCTGGGTGTGGTGGCATGTATCTTTAATCTTAGCTCTTGGAAGGCAGAGGCAGGTGGATCTCTGAGTTCAAGCCCAGTCTGCTGTACATAGTTCCAGGATAGCCAGGACTGCATATTAAAAAGCCTATTTCATCATCCCCGTCATGTGATAAGGTCTATGCAAATAGGACCATCAGAATCTTCCTCTTAGACAAGCATGCTACTTCCACGTGCTGGAGCAGGTACATAGATAGGTATAATGGTAGCTAGGAAGGGGAAGGGCGATGGTGTTGCAGCTCTGTCATGCGTCACAGTTGCATAGATAGAAGTTTCGTGCCTTTCAGATGTTGTATTTAGGTTTTTTGTTGGCTCTTTTTATTTATTGAGGTGAACTTTTGCTTGTGCAGTTCAGCCTGACCGTCACTTCTTTTTGCCACAGTCTTCCAAGTGCTCAGTTATGGGTGATTGATAGCGCTCTTGGCTCAGGTGTGGTGTGGTTTTTTGTTTTGTTTCTAGTTAGATGCAAAGACGTCATTAATTTGTTTCTCTCCTGCTTCTCACTTGTGGTTCATGGTCTTTAACTTTGAAAAGGGAAACTACTTCTGTTCTTAATCTAATTTTAGAAATTTTGGAAGAAAATAGTTCTCCAGTATTTTTATGTTTTCTTTAACTCAATGTATAGCTTAGGATGACATTGAACTTCTGGTCCTCCTGCCTCTACTCCGCTGTGCTGAGATTACAGGCATGTGCCACCATCCTCAGTTTTATGTAATGCTGGATATTGAGTTCAGGGCTTTGTCCATGCTAGGCAAACAAGCATTCTGACAACTGAGCTACATCCCTACGCCATAGAAAGAGAGACTTACATGGATCTAATCTATATGAAAAGTAGAAAAAGACAAGATCTCCTGAATAAATTGGGAGTATGGGGACCTTGGGAGAGGGTTGAAGGGGAGAGGAGAGGCGGGGAGGGGAACAGAGAAAAATGTAGAGATCAATAAAAAAAAGAAAGTACGTCTTAAAGGAACTGCCTTGGTTTTTTACTTTAATGCAATTTTCTGTTTTTGTTCTAGGAGGTAGTGCAGATTTTCATTGAAGATAATGTAACCTTCACTTTACCTGTTCAGTTCCGGCAGTCAGTATTGAGGGAGCTCTTTCAGAAAGCTCAACAAGGGTAAGCTAAAAAATTAGTTCTGATCTTTGAGTAACAGAAGGAGTACTTTGTGAGTTATTACATCCCACTTGAAAATTACCTGTCTCTCATTGACATTATTTTCACTTTTGCTACAAGGGACACTAGAGTGGTTGTGGAGACTTTTTTTAAATTACTTGTTTTATGTATATGGATGGGTGTTTTCCTTGCTTCAGTGTCTGTGCCCCTTGCATATGCCCGTGCCTCAGAGTCTGGAAGAGAGTGTTGGATGCCCTGCACCTGGAGTTCAGACAGTTGTGAGGTGACACTGAATCCTTGTCTTCAGGAAGAGCAGCTACTTCTCATAATCACTGAGCCAGCTCTTTAGCCCCAGCGGAAACATCTTAAAGTTGTTTCTCCTAGTTTCTTCTAAAAGTGCTTGCGGTGAGAAAGTTACTTGGAGCACAGTTCTTCTGCTCAGTCTTTAGAAGTCAGCAACCTTTTTGTCTTTTTTCTGAGTTGGCATATGATATTTATTAGCATGCTTGGAGATCCTAAAATGTTACTTCTCAAGAAGAAATGGTTCCATCCTTTTAAATTTTGTTTTATGCAACTGTTCCCATTTTATAATAAGAACATTGATGTTTCTGCTTTTGTGTTCTGTAGAAATGAAGCTCTAGATGAGATCTGTTTTAAAGTGTGCGTCTGCAACACAGTACGTGATATTCTGGAAGGCAGAACAGTCAGTGTCCAGTTCAACCAACTGTTTTTTAGACCAAACAAAGAAAAAATAGAGTTTCTCCTTGAGGTAAGGCATTTCCCCTGCGGAAATAGACCATCGCTCTGTGTTTACCAGGGGCCTCCAGTGCTCTCTGCTCTGCCTCCTGCCTCTCTTCTCTGTGGTGTATAGTTGACAGTGTTAACAGATTGAGCAGCCACTGCCTCTCCTCATCCCTTTCTCCTCCCCCACATCCTTCTTCCTCTTTCCTTCCTCCTCTCTGCCCTCCTCTCTGCCCTCCTTTCCCTCTTTTCCTTCTCCTCTTTCCCCTCCTTTTCCTCTTTCCTGCCTTCTCTTCCTCTTCCTCTCCTCTTTTTCCTCCTCCCTTATATCTCTTCCTCTTCCTCTCCCCTTCTCTTTATCCTTAATCTCCCTTCTCCTCCCCAGTCCCACCCAGCTTTTTTTAAAGACTGGATCTTGCTGTGTAGCTCAGGCCTCAGATTCTGTTCTTCTGCCCAGCGTCCCAGTGGTGAGGTAGGCAGGTGCCATCACACTGTGTTTTGCTTCATCTTCAGACAGCTCTTTCTCCTTTACTCCTTGTTCTTTATACTTGGTTCTTCTTGGTCTTTCAATGACGTTTCTCCTCTGTTGTAGTTAGGACCGACCTCACCTTAAGGTTCTGCCTTTTTTTTTTTAAGAGAATAATTTATTGAGACAATAAACTTATTTATCAAGACATAGTCCTGCTATATACACCAGGCTGTCTTCAAACTTACAGAGTACCATTTGTCTCTGCCATTAAAGTGATAAGACCACATTTGGTCTAAGATTTGTTTATTTTCTGTGTGTGTTTGCCTGATTTTATGTAGACCATGTGTGCGCGTGTGTCAGCAGAAACCTGTAGATCCCTTGGAACATCAGATCCCCTGGAACTGGAGCTCTTACAAGCAGCTGTGAGCTGTCTGTTGTGGGTGTTGGGGAGTGAACCTAGGTCTTCTACAGTAGCAGCAAGTGTTCTTAGCTGCTGAACTGCCTCTCCAGTTCCCAAGGTTTTTGTTGTTTGTTAGTTTTTTGAGGCAGGGTCACTACATAGTCCTGCCTGACCTTGAATCTCCAGAGACCTGCCTCCCAAAGGACTGAGATTAAAGGCTCGTGCCACTGTGCAACTTCAGCCCCTAATTATTAATTTAAATATTTATTTTTAAAAATGTTTTATCATATTTACTTACATATTTTGTATATTGTATGCATTTGTGTGTGCACATGCAGTTGCACAAAAGTAGAAGTCAAAGGACAAGTTGTTGGTTGGAACTCAGATATCATGCTTTGTCAGGCTTCTTTACCTGATTTGCCATCTTGCTAGACCTAAAGACTTGCTTTTATTTATTTAGATGTCTGTATGAGCATAAGCACTTAGGTATATACAGAGGTCAGAAGAGGGTGTTAAGTGTTCTCTTCTGCCACTTTTTACCTAAACTTTTGAGGCAGGGTCTTATTGCTGATCCTTGAGCTTGTGTTTTCTCCACTTTGCTGGAATCTAGTAGGGGCCAGGGGTTCTCCTGTCTCTGATCCCATGGAGCTGGGTTCACTGACCTTGTGTGAGGGCTGGAATCTGAGTCCTGGTCCTTAGGATTTTCAGTGTAACTGTTGAGCAGTTTCTCAGCTGTCATGTTTTCATTGTTTTGTTTTGTGATGAAGGCTGACTGTTTACCGAGCCTGGGCTGGTATCAAACCTGATATCTTCCTGCCTTGACCTTCCTAGTGCTGGGATTATAGGCATGTGCTACCTTGCCTGACTTTAAATGTGTTTTAGTATGGATTTGATGCATTGATTACAGGCATAATGAACTTTCTACATTTTTATATCCAACATTTTTGCCAATCTCTTAAAAGTTTTCTTTATTGGACTGGAGATGTTGCACCATTGGTAGAAGAATTTTTGCTTAGCATGCCCTGGGTTCATCCCCATCACCATATAAAACTGGTTGTGCTAACACAAGTCTGTAGTTCTACTACTGAGATCACTGCTGGAGAAGTTCAAGGTCATTGTCAACTGCAAGACAGATTGGAGACCACCTGGAATATATGGGATCCTGCCTCAAGAAAAAAGAGAGAATGAAGAAAGAAAACAATGGGCACTTTTTACAATTAAAAATTAAAAAACAACTAAAAAAGCATTATAACTTTATTTAAATTTCTCAGTCTAACTAATCTGCTGTCATAGGTACTTGGACTCCTACCTTTTTTGAGGGTGCTTGTCAGTATTTTTCCCTCTTCCGTATTAGAATTTTTGAAACCTAGTAGTACAAGACAGATCCTGTCTCCTATAATAATAACTTAATGTGCCAAGTTATTCTTAATTACATATGCCTGAACTTATGAAAATGATCCAACTCTGTTTTTGATGGATTCTTACCTTGACTTTTGTCTTAAATTACTTAACCAAATCAGTGATTAGTGATTGTGTTTGGAAGGGTTTCTTTTGCTGTAAAGAGACACCATGACCGTGGCAGCTCTTATAGCGGAAGAACGTTTAATTGTGGTGACTTACAGTTCGGAGGTTCAGTCCAATATCATCATGGTGGAGTGCAGCCTGACATGGTGCTGGTGCTGGAGACGAGAGTCTGTCTCACTGGGTGTGGCTTGAGCCTCTGTGAGACCTCAAAGCCCATCTCCACGGGATATCCTTCTGCCAGCAAGACCAAACCCACTCCAACAAAGCCAAACCTTCTAATACTGCCACTCCCTTTGTGGACCATTTTTTAAAGCCACCACAGTGATCGAAACATAGAAGTTCAGTTGTTCAGAGCACTGGAGAGACAGCTCAGTGGTTCAGCATATTGGCTGCTCTTCAGAGAACTAGCACCTACATGGCCGCTCAGAACTGTCCCTGCAGTTCCAGGAATCCATCCAGCACCAGCTTCTGGCCTCTGCAGGCGTCAGACATGTACATGTTGCCATCCAAGCTAAACATCCTACACATGAAGAAAAAACTAAAACTTCAGTTGTTTGTAATTCTTAAATAACTCAAATGAAAATTACTCAATTCTCTAGGTATGTTCAAGATCAATAAATGTAGAAAAAGCTTCAGATTCTTTGAAGGGAAACATGGCTGCTTTTCTTAAGTAAGTACCTTTTTTTTTAAAAACTTGAAACTTAGTTTCATGAGGAAAGTGTCTTTTTTAAAAAGACATTTTAGTTTATAAATTTTACATATGTGCATGTATATGTATGTATATATGTATGTGTGTGTCTGTGTGAGTGAGTGCCGGGGTGTGTATGTGGATGTCACTGGACAGGCTAAAGGACTCTGTTCTTTCCTTGTACCGTGTGGGCTCTGGGAATTAACCTTGGCTTAGCTGCAGTTGCTTGTACCCTTTGAGCTATGCTGATCCTGCACCTCTCACTCCCCTACCTCAGCTTTTAGTGTTGGAAATAGGGTTTTGCTATGTATATCCCAGTTATCCTGAGACCCAGTTAGTCCTGTGACCTTGAGTCCTGACTGCTACCATGTGAAAAGGCGTGTTTGTCTGTATGATCCTGGAGGTCAGTCCCGGGACTTGCACACGTGTGCTACCATCGTGCCGTGCTGAGAAAGGCATTTGTGTCTGTGTGATCCTGGGGGTCAGTCCCGGGACTTGCACATACTGATGGGCTTCACTCATAGCGATTATTCGTTTGAGTCTGGGGCTCACCATCTATTCCAGTTGGCCCAAACACTAGTTCTCTTTACTCTGCTGCTCAGATGCTGAGATTACGGGTGTCCACTGCGTGCCTAGCTTATCACATAATGTATGAAATGATGGATTTTTAAGGTGGCTTATGAAAGTAATTGGTTGATAGGAATGATTTTCCCTACCAAAGTTTGCACTTTTAAAATGTAAAGTCTAGTGTTTCTCGCTGCTGTAGGAACGTGTGTCTGGGGCTGGAAGACCTGCAGTACGTCTTCATGATTTCTTCACACGAGCTTTTCATTACGTTGTTGAAAGACGAAGAGCGAAAGCTGCTTATTGATCAGATGAGGAAGAGATCCCCTAGAGTAAATCTGTGCATTAAGCCTGTGACTTCATTTTATGATATCCCAGGTTAGACCTATTCTGCTAGCTCACGTTTTGATGCTAAGATCTTCCTAAGGCTTCTTTGGTATTTCAGTTGGTATTTGAATGATTAGTAGAAACCTAACCTGTCTGCTGTGGTCAGATTTCTCTGGGAACAGTTTTTGGTTCTCAGCTGAGCCAGAGGCTGATGGAGATTTGGGTGTAGTTCATAAAAGGGTTTAGCTGAGGATAGACCCAAACAGAAGCTACTGCTAGTATACTCTCGAGGGTAAAAGTGCAGATGGTGCAGGGTAGATAGGGAACCGGGACCAAAAGGAACCAGGATTGTCAGTCAGCATAGCTGTGCTGTCAGCTCCTGGCTTAGCATTAGCTGTGAAAATTTTATTTTTATCTTATTTTACTTTTCTCTCATTTATTTATTTGTTTGTTTATTTTATTGTGTATACAGTGTTCTGTCTGCATATGTGCCTACAGACCAGAAGAGGGCACCAGATCTCATTACAGATGGAAGTGAGCCACCATGTGGTTGCTGGGAATTGAACTCAGGACCTTGGGAAGAGCAGCCAGTGCTATTAGCCTCCGAGCCTTCTCTCTAGCCCCTTTGCTTTATATTTTTAAAGATGCATTTGCATTACTAAGCGCATACAAGCTGTGGTAGGTTTTCTGTGTGGGAATAAAGTTATACAAAATTTGAGTTATATAAAATAATTCCATTTTCAAAATGGTTTCTACTTTTAAGATATTTCACATATGCCTTTTCTCTCAGTTGTATCACCCTTAAAATTTTACATTTAACTTTGAGTTTACTCATTGCTGAAATGGAGATCTCTTCCTTAGCTTCAGCAAGTGTCAACATTGGCCAGTTGGAACATCAGCTTATATTGTCAGTAGATCCCTGGAGGATTAGACAGATCTTAATTGAATTACATGGTATGACTTCAGAGCGACAATTTTGGACTGTGTCCAGTAAGGTAAGAAACTCTCTGTTAAGAATAGGTATGAATTTCGTTGTTTCATTCTGCATTCTAGGAGGAATGCTATTTTTTGACTTTTTTTTATTTAAAATAATAAGGATCCATTTAATAGACTTTCATATGACCATAATTGGAACTAGAGATAAAAAAAGGGAAAACACACAAAAGTCAAATAACGTGAGCAGTGGGTTTTTATTTCACTTGTTGTCTAAGCTCCTCCATGCATTTTAAACACAACTGTAAATGTAGATAAAATGTGTGTTATTTATAGGACCTTCAAAAGGGTCAAAGCTTTGTTGTCTGTTTGTTTCGGTTCTGAGAACTGAACCCAAGTCTTCACTCACTCTAGGAAAACTAGGCCACTGAGGTATAGCTCTAACCCTTGCATTTTATTCATTTATTTATGGTAATTTTTTTATTCTTTGAGAATTTCATGCATGTATAGAATGCCTCCCAAGTGCTGAGATTAAAGGCTTGCGCCAGAATTACAAGGCCTTTTTCTTCTTTTTATAGCTTCTTGGACCCAGCTCATACCGCCCTATGTACTGAGAGGATGGGCCTAAAGAAAGCTCCCTGCTCTAGCAGCAGCCTGTAACTACCAATAGTTCTCAGCCCTGGGTGGGAGGTCTCCATTAGTTCCTCCCCAGCCATGCTGGGGTTTTGACTCATTCGCTCTCTTGTTGAGTGTTTTTATTTCCTGCCGGGTGTAGGGCTACACCTTTACTCCACGCACGCTAGGGCAGAAGCAGGTGGATCTCTTGAATCCGGGCTATCCGCTGTGTGTGTGCTTATGTATTTTAATTATTTATTTATTTTAAAACTTTTTTTTTAGTGGGAAGTACCTTCTGTATATAGTGGTGTTATCCTTGGAATTAAGGACAATTTAACAAGAGATTTGGTTTACATTCTCATGGCCAAAGGTTTACACTGCAGTACTGTCAAGGTGAGTGAAAATGTGTGTGAACACTTGTTCAGACCTGCTTCAGAGGGTAAAGTGCTTGGTGCATGGGTGTGAGAACTGGAGTTCAAATCCTCAGAACTCCATAAAGTCCTGTAGTCCTCGTACTCCTAAACAGAAGACGCTCCAGAAGTCTGGGGTGGGTCAGCTTGCGTACTCAACAAGGCTGACAGACACCTTGTCTCAGACCAATCCAAAGTTGTCTTCTTGACTTCCTCATACATGACATGGCACATGCACCACACACACATGTACATGCACGCGTGTTAATAATCAGGAGAAAGGAGTCAAATCTGATTGTTTCTTGCTTTGAAAAAAGAATTTTATCTTCAATTATGTGTTGGCATTTGTCTGTGTGTGGGCATGTGCATAATGTATACAGGTGCCCTTGGGTGCCAGAGGCATCCTGTGAGTCTAGATACAGGAGGTTGTGAGCTATGAGACACGGGTCTTTGACTGAGTGTGTTCTCTGTGAGAGCAGCATGTGCTCTTGCCTGCTGAGCTGTCTTTGCAAATGTTAACATGCAAGATGGAATCCTAGAGCAGAGCACCGTCGAGTACAGGAGGATGTGATGAGTACGGATGCTGTACACATAGAGACCAGGAAAGACAGCAGTTTGCAGAGATGACTAATTAGAGTACTTGCTGCTCTTGTAGGGGACCCAGGCTTGCTTTCCAATACCAATGTAATGACTTACCAACATTCTAAATTCAGTTCCATGGGTTCTAATGCCCACTTGATGGACACACCCACTGTGTGTACGTCCAAACAAAACACTCATATGCACAAAATAAAAGATGCCTGGCAGTGGTGACACATGTCTTTTAAAAATGATTTATTTATTTTTACTTTATGTGCATTGGTGTTTTGCCTGCATGTATGTCTGTGAGATGGTGTTGGATCTCCTGGAACTGGAGTTACAAACAGTTGTGAGCTGCCATGTGTGTGCTGGGAATTGAACCTGGGTCCTCTGAAAGAGCCTCCGGTGCTCTTAACCATCTCTCTAGTCCCAGTGGCATACACCTTTAATCCTGCGAGGCAGGCAGATCTCCCCATTTGAGGCCAGCGTGGTCTAGGGTGAGTTCCAGGACAGGAAGTGCCATACAGTGAACCGTGCATTGAAACACCAAAAGAAAATGTCTAAGGAAAAGAGAAGTGTCCCGCCCCACCTCGTCCAGCAAGGATGACGCGACCACCGGAGCTCTTCTCACTGCAGTTTATTCCAGGACTTTATTCACATTCTCTCTCTCCCTCTCTCTTCCCCACTCTCTCTCTCGGCCCTTAAGTAGGCATGGGCTGCCAACCCCGGACTGCCAGGTGGGCACTGCCCATAGGTTCACGCATATGCAGGCAGCTGATAATCATTGCGTGATCATAGCATAGGTCAGACTTTAGCCATAGGAGCTGATTATACATCTCCAGGTGTGATTCCACAAAGCTCGCTACAGAGAAGCATTTGGGTGTGATGATACATGCATTTGGGAGGAAGAGACAGATCTCTGTGAGACTGAAGCCATTCCGTCTACATGGGAAATCCCAGACAGTCTTAGCTGCATCTTGAGCTCCTAAGAAACAAGCAAATAAAAGACCCAAAAGACTAGAAGAACACTGGGGGTAGCCCCTGTAAGGCACTGAGAAGACCTTTTATTCTTAATGTATCATGGTTGGGGAGGTCACACTTTGGGGGAGAGTTAACACTAGTTTGCAGTGGGATGGGTAGGAAAGGAATGAGTGGAACATAGATGATTACATTGATTTATTAGGTAGTTGTACAGTTAATAGGCAAGGAGTGGAAATGCGAAACCTATTTTAGAGTCTGTGGTCCAATTCTGAGAATCTTAGATGGAGAAGTGTTCTTTTTTTTTTTTTTTTTTGAGACAGGGTTTCTCTGTAGCTTTGGAGCCTGTCCTGGAACTAGCTCTGTAGGCCAGGCTGGTCTCGAACTCACAGAGATACGCCTGCCTCTGCCTCCCAAGTGCTGGGATTAAAGGCGTGCGCCACCACCGCCCGGCTGGAGAAGTGTTCTTGCCATAAAGTTTTATGTTTGCATAATATCAAAGTCTTTGTTACTGTATATTTGTGTCCAACTTGTTTGGTAATACATGCACTTACAATATTGTAATCAATCAACAGTAGAGAAATGGTACTCTAGCCTCTCTCTAAATTCAGTGGTGACCACTCCAGCGCCTATGAAGATCCACATTACTTTGGCTCCGAAGACTCACTCAGGCTGGCCTCTTGCTTCTTTTATAGGACTTTCCCCATGCTAAACAGCTCTTTGCAGCTTGTTTGGAGCTGGTAACAGAGTTCTCACCGAAACTGCGGCAAGTCATGCTGAATGAGATGTTACTTTTGGATATTCACACCCACGAAGCTGGGCTGGGACAATCCGGAGAGAGACCTCCTTCCGACCTTATTAGTAGGGTCCGAGGATACCTGGAAATGAGACTTCCTGGTAAGGCGGGTACACGGGTCCACATTTCACTGTGGGGGGTGTTGGTTGGGATCTGCTTACCTGACTTTACCTCTATTCTGGAGCAGTTTGGGTGTGGAGGTGACTTGAAAACATTAGTGACTTTGAGAAACCATTGCCCTCTGGTAGGGATTAGACTCTGAAATCAGAGTGACTCAGCCCTGCCCTGCTCACCCTCCTGGCTGTGCCTGGCAGCCCTTGTCATTGCTTGGCTGTAGCTGCATCCATTAGTCTAGTTTCTGCCCCGTTCTCGTGTAGCTGCTTTTTCTCTTAGAAGGACACTACTTGGACATTTAGGGTCCGCCATAAATAGTATGACCTCAGGTCAACTGATTATATATGTCCAAAGAGCAGTAGCTGTAGTCCTCTGGGTGTTACGAATGAGTGTGGTTATTATGTTCTAATTTTCAGAGGGACCTACAGTTTTTAATGACAGACTTTCAACAGTTGTTGATCTCGGTCAGCTCTTTGTTAGTGTGATGTGTTCCCTCTAGGTGGGAATGGGATTGCACCCAGAGCCTCACATGCCCGGCCAGCACTTTACTGCTCAGCTGGAGCTCCAGCCGTGCTTGACATTGCTGAACTGATGTGAACAGCACTTGACGCCACTCTCTCTCAAATGGTAGATTGTCAGTCAACATATAATTTATGCAAACTCTTACTTAACTGTTCAGCAACTTTTTAAAATAGCTTAAGCTATTACTACTGCTCAGAATGAGAAGAAAAGTTTGTATTATTTCAAACGCTTCAGAGAAAAGCAAGGAAATGAGTTTTTCTTCCCGTGGATACAGTTCCTATCTTTGCCTGAGTTATAATTATGGCCTTAGGTATTTGACTACAGTGTAGACTGAGTCAGTGCAACCGTGAGGGTCACAGTTGGTAGGCATGCTCTTTCTGGGGCCAGGATGAACAAGTGTAAGGGTGCCTTTGCAGGTTCATTGAGAGACACTGTCTGAAAAAAAAAATAAGGTTGAGAGGCGATGGAGAGATGGCTCAGCAGTTAGGAGCACTACCTGCTCTTTTGGAGAATCTGGGTTTAGTTCCAACCACCCCCATGGTGTTTTCCAGGAGATCAGTGGCCTCTTCTGGGCTTAGGCACCAGTTTCATTCGACTCTCCATAGCATTGTCTTGACATTGTGACTTAGGATACATTATATCTTATTCCCAAAGTATAATTAGGATCTTGATACTGCTTTGAGTCACAAAAATTCACAACATATTTTGGTATATTTATTTCAAAGTAAACAATGCTTAAAGTAAACGTTGGTGATTTTTTTTTAACCTCCCTTACTATTATTTGAAATACTTTTGTATTTTAAATTATTTTTAGCACATTTATTTATTTGTTCACTTATGCACAGGTAAGGTCTTTTGTAGCTCAGGATGACCTTGAACTTCTGATACCCTTGTTTCTACTTTCAGCTATTTCACCTGTTTCTTTCCTTGCTTTTTAGACATTCCTCTTCGTCAAGTTGTAGCTGAAGAGTGTGTTGCTTTTATGCTAAACTGGAGAGAAAATGAGTATCTTACCCTGCAAGTTCCTGCATTTTTACTTCAGAGTAATCCATATGTAAAGGTAATTAATGTTTAGGTAAAATGGCTATCAGAGTGCTGGTATTTATATCGTTAGTACTGTCTGTATTATTGTACCCATTTCATTTGTTTCTGTACTCTGAAATTTGTCTGGTTTCTATGGTGCTGTGTTGGTTAAGGCAAGCCCTTGTCAGTTTGTAGTGAAGTGTGCATAGTTTTGGGCTGGGAATGTAGCTCGGTTTTTAGAGCCCTTTCCTAGTGTATATGAAACCACAGTAATCCCTGTACCCTATAGTTTAGACAGTACAAGCCTCTAAACTTTGTTCTGATAATGCTTTCTGATACCTTATAATGTAACATACAAACAGTATGAGGTTCAACAAACATTTTGTTGTAATTGTAAAGTAGCAGGAGGTTTGTTACCATTTCTTGGTTTGAGTGCTAAGGTCCGACTCTGAACGGGTGAAAAACAGGTTTCTATTCATTTTCCCGTTAGAGCAGTTATCCAGCTAGGCTTGATTTTGTTGGGTAGCCAAGGATGATCTTGAACTTCTGGTTTTCCTGCCTTTGCTTCTTAGGAGCTAGTTAGGCATGCACTGGAGCTCATTTGAGTCCAGCCCTTTGAAGATCTATGGAGTCTTCAGTTTTCTTCCTCTTTTACAGTTCATGAATGCCTTTGGGATTTCAGATATTTGCTGTCTCTTTAGTAAATTTTCTGGAATCTGAGTTCTAATACCCAGAGTAACCTGATTGTGTCTAACACTCTCTCCATGACCTTTAATATTAAGCATCAGAACTTTGTTATTTCATGGTTATTATTATTGTTTCTGTTTAGAATTGAGGTTTGTTGCTCATTGTTCAGACAGTACAGTAGCTCCTCTCTTGGCTTCTAGCAGTCTTTGGGGTCATGTACCATGCGAGACAGGCGGCAAGCTCATGCTTGTGTAATGATGTTTAGGACACAGGAAGTTGTGTGATAGATTGATTGCATTGGTTATACAGTTTATCTCATTGCCTCCTGCAGTCCCTTGATATAGTCTAAAAGGAGGAAGACTGGTGATCTTGTTAAAAGTCACCTGGTGATTAGGTGATTAGGGCTCCTTCTGTAACTGGCCCCTTCCTCTTTTGATAATACTAAGAAGAAGCAGAAATATAGAGTGAGAATTATGCTTTGAAAATATGGTTTGGAGCAGTTTCTTCCAATTTTATGTGGGATGTGTGTATGTAAGAATGAGGAACGGTGAGGAGAAGCTGTCCGTTTCTGAGGTAGGAACTGAGTGACTTTAGCCGTGTCTGTGTTCTCTGTTCCACATGCACTTTGTCTTTGTGACCGCGTCTCAGTATGTAAATCTGGCTGCCCTGGAGTTCATGGTCTTCCATCTCAGGTTCTTATCAAGTGTGGAGGTGTTGAAATAGGGAGCGGCGGGGCTGCGTCCCCAACACCCTGGCAGCTTGCTAGCTCATGCCCGAAATAACAACACACAAACTGTATTCATTTAAGAACTGCTTGGCCCATGAACTCTAGCCCTTACAGGCTAATTCTCGCACCTGGACTAGCCCATTTCTAATGATGTGTGTAAGCACCCCAAGGTGCGCTTACCAGGAAGATTCTAGCCTCCGTCCATCCTGGTGTCACTGCTCCAGCAGAGCTGTCGGGTCTGTCCGGGAGCAGAGCAGAGTCTGACCTCACTTCCTCTTCCGCCCAGAATTCTATTCTGTTTATTCTGCCCACCTATCTTTTAACCTATCAGGGCCAGCAGTTTCTTTATTGCTCAGCCAATGAAATCAACAGATTGATATGACACTCCCACATCATGGAGGTCTAGGTGTGTGCGCAGCTTCCGCCCTCCCAGCCCCAGCCTGCTTTCTTTTTGAATAGAAATTATCTATTAAGAGAAGCATTCCTGAGAATGTGACTAACTAGTGGGCCAGGGCAAAACCACGCTTTCTTTAACACAGTACCATTATATAATCAAAGGAAAGGGAAACTCCTTAGCAGATGACTAAAATAGTCCCTTTTGAAATAATACGAGCTGTCTAGTCTCCTTGTGCCAGTAGGGAGACAATGCAGTAAAATGGATCCGCAGGATCCGCAAGCACGGGGCGGGGCATACTGTCATCCGTCACATGACTCGGAGGACGCCACAGCTGCTGATGGTGGCAGGAGTGCCCTCTTGTAGGAAAACAACTCGGTTACTTTTTTAAAAAAAAAATTTATTTACTTACTTTCAGAAGAAGTCATCCAATTCCACTAGAGATGATGAGATCCCATCTCATGTGGGTGCTGGGAATTGAAGTCAGGGTCTCAGGAAGAGCAGCCAGTGCTCTCAACTGCTGAGCCACCTCTCTAGCCCACGCCCCCTTTTTTTACATTTTAAGAAACTTTTTTTTTATGTTTATGGGTGTTTTGCTTGCATGCATGTCTGTATACTTGCGTTTCTGGTGTCCTCAGAAGTCAGAAGACTGCATTGGAGCTCTTGAAACTTGAGTTATGGATGGTTGTGAACCACCATGTGCGTGCTGGGAGTGAAGTTGGGTCGTCTAGAAGAATAGCCAGTGCTCCTAAGGGTCCACACTTAAGATTTTTAGTTTGACCTACAGGCCTTTTAAAGTGTGAGTGCTTCTTTGACAGGTGCATGTCTCCTGCGTGTCCTCGGTGTGTCCTCCGCATCAGCCACCTCTGCTCACAGCTCACAGTGCTCTGTGATACCTTTTCCTTCTTCTGTTCTTTGCACATGCTGTCTGCTGGGGTGGCCCTCCCTGCCTAGTTCATGCATTTCCCGTAGTTGGGCATTCCTTTGGGATGCCAGCTCACAGTAAACAATGTGGAAACTTAATTATGAGAGCTTGGCCTTAGATTAGGCTTGTTTCTAACTAGCTCTGTAACTTCAATTAACCCATTTCTGTTCGTTTACTTTCTGCCTAGTTGCTTTATTACCTCACCTCTGGACTGCCCATCCTGCTTGCTCTGCATCTGCTGGCATCTCTCTGCCCTGCATCCTCTCTGCCCTGAAATCCTGCCTAGCTATTGGCAATTCACCTTTTTATTAAACAAACCAGAGTGACATAGCTTCTCAGTGTACAAACAGATTATTTTACAGCAGCTTCCTTCTTTCTTTTCTTTCTTTCTTTCTTTCTTTCTTTCTTTCTTTCTTTCTTTCTTTCTTTCTTTCTCTCTTTCTTTTTCCCATTTTGTTTTTCAGGACAAGGTTTCTCTGTGTAAGAGCCCTAACTATCTTGGAACTCACTGTGTAGACCAGGCTGGCCTTGAACTCACAGAGATCCACCAGTCTTGCCTTCTGAGTGCTGGGATTAAAGGTGTGTACTACCACCGCCCAGCAGTGTTGACATTTTTGTTTATGCTGTATAATGTTGACAGAGGTTTCTGTCCTGCCCGGTCCTGCAGCCATTCAATCCCAAAGAAACACACAGAGGTCTACATTAATTATATCCTAGTTGGCCTATTAGTTCGGGCTTTTTATTAACTAACTCTTACATTTTAAATTAACCCATAATTCTTGTCTGTCTTAGCCATGTGTCTTGGTACCTTTTATCAGTGAGGCATTCTCTTTTTACTTCCTCTGTGTCTGGGTGGGTGACAAATGCAGAACTGAGCCCTTCCTCTTCCCAGAATCCTCCTGTTCTGGTAGCCCTGCCTGTATTTCCTCCCTGGCTACTGGCCAATCAGTATTTTATTAAACAAGTGACAAATCTTTACAGGGTACAAAACCATTGTCCCATAGTAGGATAATAGTCTGTGAGATAGGGAGTTCTTGAAAGCAGTTAATTTTATATCTTGTATTCTATATACTACCCGAAATAGGTGCTCAAGAGGGTTTATAGAGTTCATTTGATTTAAGGTGCTTAAGGTTTTTTGGGGGAAAATGTTTTCCCTCCTGAAACAAGTTTTTGTTGTCGTTGTTTTGGTGTGTTTTATCTATCTATCTATCTATCTATCTATCTATCTATCTATCTATCTATCTATCTATCTATCTATCTATCTATCTATCTATCTTTTGGTTTTTCGAGACAGGGTTTCTTTGTGGCTTTGGAGCCTGTCCTGGCACTAGCTCTGTAGACCAGGCTGGTCTTGAACTCACAGAGATCCGCCTGCCTCTGCCTCCCGAGTGCTGGGATTAAAGGCGTGCGCCACCATCGCCCCGCATTGTGTTTTATTTTTTAAAATGATCTTATTTTACACACCAATCCCAGTTCCCTCTCCCTCCCATCCTCCTGGTCCACCTACCTTCTCCCCAACTCCTCAATCCACTCCTCAGAGAGTGTAAGGCCTCCCATGTTGGGACCAAGCCTTTCCTCCCTGTATCTTGGCTGAGCAAGGTATTCCTCCACAGGGAACGGCTCAAAAGAGGTAGTTCATGTACTAGGATTAAATTTTGGTTCCACTACTAGTGGCCCCACAGACTGCCCAAGCCATACAACCGTCATGCACATTCAGAGGGCCTAGTTTGGTCCTATGCAGGTTTCCCAGCTGTCAGTCCAGAGTCAGTGAGCTCCAGCTTGCTCAGGTCAGCAGCTTCTGTGGGTTATAATATTGCTCTGTTTTTATGACTGAACTCAAGGTGTTCGGCACAGTACTTAGCTGTAGATCTCTGCTTCTCTCAGTTACTGGATGAAGGTTCTTTGTAACAATTAAGGTGGTCTTGAGTCTGATTACAGGGCCCCCTCTCCGCTATTGCTTAGAGGCTTAGCTGGGGTCATCCTTGTGAATTCCTGAGAATTTCCCTGGTGCCTGGTTTCTTGCTAGCCCCATAAACTCTTTCAAGATATCTCTTTCCGGGGCTGGCGAGATGGCTCAGAGGTTAAGAGCATTGTCTGCTCTTCCATAGGTCCTGAGTTCAATTCCTAGCAACCACATGGTGGCTCACAACCATCTGTAATGGGGTCTAGTGCCCTCTTCTGGTCTGCAGGCATACAGACAGACAGTATATTGTATATATAATAAATAAATAAATAAATATATATATTTAAGAAGAAAATTCCAGGACAGACAGGCTCCAAAACCACAAAGAAACCCTGTCTCGAAAAACCACACACAAAAAAAAATCTCTTTCCTTGCTCTCCCTCTCTGTCCTTCACCCAACTCAACCTTCCCAGTCCCTCATGTTCTCCTCTCTGCTCTCCTTCTCCCCTCCCCACTCCTCTTCCACCCACACCTCCAATGTACTAAGGAGATACTGTCAACTTCCCCTTCCTGGGGGAATCCATGTATGTCTCTCTTAGGGTTCTCCTTGTTTTCTATGAGACAGATTTTAATGTGTGACCTGGGTTGGCTTTAAACTTGGTAAATAGTCCAGGCTAGCCTTACACTTGAACTTCTTCGGCCTTAGCCTCTCCTAAGTTGGAAATGACCACTACTTCAAGATCTTGCCTTTAATTAACTATTTTCCAGCCTAGTAAATTCAGTGACCTTCAGCTGGTGTGTGTGTTGCTGTGATTAAACCCGAGCCACAACAAATACTCAAGTGTATGGAGGGTCAGGTGTTTGGTCCAGTTTGGTGGGTACTGGGTTTCCTGGTGCGCTTGATCCTACCATGCTGCATTTTCTGTCTAGCTGGCTGAAGAGCTTCCAAGGGGCCTTGTTGTGTGATGTTTTACTCTGGACTCTGTAGTCGTTTGACTTTTTTTGTGTGTGTCTGGGGGAGGGCACCACCCATCTCCTGACTAAATCACACACAGAGGCTTATTCTTAGTTATGAATGCCTGGCCTTAGCTTGGCTTGTTTCTTGCCAGCATTTCTTAATTTTAAATTATCTCATCTATCTTTGGCCTCTGGGCTTTTATCTTTCTCTATTTCTATATACCTTTTCTTTCTTTCTTATTCTGTATTTGGCTGTGTATCTGGGTGGCTAGCCCCTGAAGTCCTCCTCCTTCCTCTCTCGTTCCCAGATCCTTTTTTCTCCCAGCTTTCTGCTGCTCATATTTATCCTCTCTGCCTTCCAGCCCCACCTATTTTTCTCTCCGGCCTCTCTGTTAGCTGTTCAGCCCTTTTATTAGACCATCAGGTGTTTTAGACAGGCACAGTAACACAGCTTCACAGAGTTAACCAAATGCAGCGTAAACAAAAGTCGCACACCTGAAGATAATATTCCCCGACAGGGCCTCTGCTTTCTTTGCCTTCTCTTTTGTTATGGGAATCCTGAAGTTCAGATGCAACATGTCAGTTTTTTGTTTTGAAACATGGGCTTTAGGGATCGCACTGGGGTTTATCAGGTAGGTTCAGGCTGGCAACAAAAGTCCACCCCCCCCCCCCCCCCCCCCCCCCCCCCCCCC